GCAACATGCATTTTTTCAACCATACGTGATCACGTGATTGTTTATATCATAAAAACTAGAGCCAATATACATTTTTAAATGTCATTTTCGTTTTCAGCACCCCAAAATCATAAAAGAACAACTATTTTCAGACCCGCAACTTTTTCTCCGTTGAACAGTGTTATTTAAAGAATGGGATAAAGAGATTTGGAAATTTATTTGGAAAGAGAAAAGGCCTTGAATTAATCATAGAAACCTGACAGATGTAAGGCAGAGAGAAGGTTTTGGCCTACCAGATATAAGATTATATTACGATGGGCTGAGTTGGGTAAAATATTGGATTTCATTGAGGAGAGAAAATGTGCTGACCCTGGAGGGCTTCGACCCAAGGGTAGGATGGCACGCTTACCTGTGGCGTAACCAAACAAAGAAAGAGAAAAATTTCAATAATCACTTTATCTGTGCTGTCACACGCTGGGCCTGTGCATCAAACTGTAGGCAGGACACAAATTCTGTGTGACCAACGGGACGCCAGGGACGCCTCAGATTAAAGGTCCTTGGATTTCCCCAAACAGAGTCTTTGGATTGCTTAAAGGTTCAACAAAGTTCTTTATTAATGAAAACAAACAGGTACTTTAAGGCTTTCTTAACAGTCTATTGGCTCTTTCAGTCTTGTCCACAGGGAACAGGCACTATCTTCATGACTGGTATTTTAACTAATGGGGAAATCCTTAACTTCTAATCTGGGCAGTTTGTCTTTGCCTCTGTTGGCGTGGAGCCCCTGCACCCGGTACCAACTGCTTCTGGCTTCCGCGAGAGACCCTTACCAAGCAGAGCTTTGTAGACTTCCAGGGGGAAAGAACTCAGGTTTCCGTGATGGCTGAATGAAGTCCTTCAGCAAAGGAGCTGTAAGGCTGTACAACCCCGGTCAGGCTGTAGGCTGTATATCTCCCCGGCCAAGCCGTAGAAGACGAAGCTTTCTACAGGAGCTCTTGGTATTATGTCCTGCATGGAAAGCTTCTCTGTGTGGACTGAACCCAAAAAGGCCTCCTATTCCCTCCAAAACCCAAAAAAGGGGGCGGGACCAGGGAACCTAACTATAATTGACAGGTGGCTTGCCCTATGATTGCAGCCAAAAGAAGCCACCTATCTGCAGAGTCCCTGAAACTTAGGACTATAAGAAACATTAAATGCAAAGCAAACAAAATTGGAGCTCCTGGTGCAGTTGTACCTGCACATTATCAGAGGGTCGTTACTAAAGATATGGGAGAAGTACAGAGACAGATTTTATCAAAAAAACACCGCTCTGGCTTTCCCCGTTCGAGGCGGGACAAAGAAGATTGCTAGGGTGGACGAGATGGCCAACGTATAAAGACATAACATCTTTAAAGATGGTAAAATACTCCTGAAGCCGAAAGAGGAGATAGCCAAGGAAACTAAATCTTTCACTTGGCTACAATACTTTCAGTTAAAAGAATACTTTAAAATCGATGAGGAATTAGGCTTCCAAGCGCAAGATGACTTATGGGAGAAGTTATTACAAAAAGACAAGAAGAACATAACTTTCTTATATAATAGGGCTGGGCGGTTTCGTTTCGTAATTTCGTAATTCGTTAAAAATTCGTTATTTTTTTTGTTACGAAGCGATAACGAACCATTCAGGAGCATCTAAAAAACGAAACGAATTTTTCAATTCGTTTCGTAATTGCTTCGTATTCGTTTTGTATTCGTTTCGAAATCATTTCGAAATCGTTTCGTTATTATTTCCGCATGTCTGGGGCAAGTTTTATAGCTGTTGTTTGTTTAATTAGTGAAAAAAAATTATAAATATCACACCAACAGTCAACAACAGAGGGAGAGGGAAGCTTCAAAAATTCCCCCTGTCCCATATGGAGGTTCTTTAGCGTATTGCGCGGTCGCGTCCGCCATTAACGAATCGATTCGTATTCGTTTCGAAATCGTTTCGTAATTGTTTCATAATTTACGAAATTTCGTAAATATCGAACTTTTTTAAAGAAAAATTTCGGAATTCTTTTAAATATCGAAACGCAAAAACCCCCAAAAAACGAATCGAGATTAGAAATTAAATTTTCCGTGGTTGCCCAGCCCTACTATATACATAAAAATGTAATGTTCATTTGTGAGATTAACAGAACTCAAAAACCACTACAGAGACTGAAGCTGTAAAAGAATGTATGATTAAATGGGCTAAAAACATTGGTAGGCTCATAAAATTCAACGAGTGGGAACAGATCTGGTAAAAAAAAATCAAATATACATACTCTATAGATTTAAGGGAATTCTTTAACAAGGAAAACACTTTTTAACCCCTCCCAGGCAATCTACTTTCTATGCTTGCTGGTTTGGGCTCTACTCCAATTGCTTCTGGTTACCCGAGTAGACCTACCAGCCAAGGCTTTGTAGATTCTCCAGTTGGAGTTCTTTTGGATCTTTTCCACGAAAGATGTGGAGCTGTTTCCCCCGGATGCTACAGATGGAGCTGATCCACGTCCTGTAGCTAAGTTTTCCACTATAAGACTGAACTAAAAATGGTTCCCTTTCCCTCCCAGAGCCCTGGGAAAAGGGGCGGAACCAAAACTTAACAATGATAGACAGGTGGCTAGCCCTATGACTGCAAACCAAGGGAAGTCACCTTTTGCAAATGCATGGAACTTTGGAATATATGCAAACACTCAATAGGAAGAAATGAAGTTGAAGCTCCTGGTACAGTCGTACCAGCACAGTCCTTCTCTTCCTTTTTGGAAACAGATGGCGAATCCTCCCGCCAAAAGCCCTCTTCTGCTGTGATTGTCCGGCCTCTCAGCCAAGGGGAGAGCTTTCTGAGACTCCAAGGGGTGAGGGGAGAGCAGGCGTGCTCAGTGTGGTGTGCATGTGCAAGTGAGGGGGAGCACGCAAGGCTGGAGGGAGGCTTGCGCCAGCAAGTACTTTCAAGACATGAGGGTTCTGTGAGGAAACTTTGGCCCAATTCTATCGTTGGTCTGATGCAGAATGCTCTTTAATTGTAGGTGAAATATAAATCTCAGCAACTACAACTCCCACTGTCCACTTCCGAGCACAATTCAAAGTGTTGGTTTTGACCTATAAAGCTCTATACGGTTCTGGCCCAGCTTACTTGTCTGAATGCATCTGCCTCTACGTCCCACCTTGTAACGTAAGATCATCAAGGGAGGCCCTGCTCTCGCTCCCACCAACATCACAAATGTGGCTGGTGGGGACGAGAGACAGGGCCTTCTCGGCTGTAGCCCCCTGCCTGTGGAATGCGCTTCCAAACGAGATACAATCAACCCCATCCCTCCTGGTTTTCAGGAAGAAATTAAAATCTTGGTTTTGGGACCAAGTTTCGGACAATAAACATAAAGCAGCACTTTGACTGGAAATGGATTGGCAAGACGATATATATGAGGATATGGTTTTATTGTTCTATCAGTGAGTTTGTGGACTGAGTATTGTTTTAATGGCTGTTATGATAATTTGGTTATAATTAATTGCTACTGTTTTAACTCTGTATGTATTTATGGTTTTCTACTGTGTTACTGATTTGTGGCATCGAATTGCTGCCTTTGTTAGCCGCTCTGAGTCGTCGCCCCCCCCCCAGGGGGGGGGTTGAGAAGGGCGGGGTAAAAATGCTATAAATAAATAAATAAAATGTCAAGGGTCTATTTTCCCCAAACTCCACCAGTGTTCACATTTGGGTGTTCGTGTCGGGTTTGGTCCAGATCGATCATTGTTTGAGTCCACAATGGTCTCTGGATGTAGGTGAACCACAACTCCCAAATACAAAGTCAATGCCCACCAAACACTTCCAGTATTTTCTGTTGGTCAGGGGAGTCCTGTCTGCCAAGTTTGTTTCAATTCTATTGTTGGTGGAGTTCAGAATGCTCTTTGATTGTAGGTGAACTATAAATCCCAGCAACTACAACTCCCAAATGACAAAACCAATGCACCCCAACCTCACCAGTATTCAAGTTTGGGCGCATTGGGTATTTGTGCCAAATTTGGTCCAGTGAACGAAAATGCATCTTGCATATTAGAATCATAGAATCATAGAATTATAGAGTTGGAAGAGACCTCATGGGCCATCCAGTCCAATCCCCTGCCAAGAAGCATTCATAACAGTAGCAAAACTACAGTTATTAAGTAGTAACAAAAATAATGTTATGGTTGAGGGTCACCACAACATGAGGAACTGTATTAAGGGGTTGCGGCATTAGGAAGGTTGAGAAACAATGCCCTAAATAAACATGTACCTTGGGGCATTATCCTCTTTATCAGCTTCTTTGTATCCCTTTTAACTCTTGAGTCTTTTCCTTCTTTCACCTTCCGTAGCTGGCCCCAATGGCCACATGTGCAACATGGCCCTCACGGCCCACACAGCCCTCCCTGGCCCTCAGAGTTGGGCTCTCTCTCCCATTTTCCCCTGTATTAAGCTCTCCTTTACCCCAGTAACCCCATATCAACTCCAAACTTCCCCGGTATCCACGGATCACTTGTGTGTGTCTTCCCTGTGGCAATTTGTAAAAAGGCACCATGGTGTAATGGGTTTGACTGGAAAGACATGTGTCGGCAGCTGATTGACTGAGCATGCCGGGAGCCAGAGTTCTGATTGGCTACTCTCTCTGGCTTGCTGCTGAAACAAATGGTTTTAACTGCCACTTTCACCTTGCAGAGTGAAGAGAGCGCTGACTGGAAACAGCCAGGAAGGAAATGGCTCCCAACTCTCTGAAGCCTGATCATTTCTAAGGCATGAAGCATATTTTAAAAACTGTTTAAAAGGACTGTTTATTCCCTCTGTTCTCTGTGTGAATTCAGAGAGACTGCCTTATATATTGTTGCTCTGTTTGATCTTTTGAATGGAAGTAACAATGCTGTCACTTGTTACACAAGCCCGAGTGACACTTTATTATACTGCAGGGTATATCTTGCTTCAGAAACTGTGTTTATTTACATTTATCAACCCCCACATTCCTTTCCCTGTGGGTATATGGCATGGCCCGACTTACCGGGCCGTGGAGGTTGCGGTGAGGGGTGTTCCCCGCCGCAATTTGGCCTGAGGGGGGCTTCTTCCTCCCAGAAGCCCCCCTCGCCCGGCAGAAAGGTTTCCCGCTCTCCAGAAGGTGGCCCTATCAGCGACCGGCCACGCCTCCAGGCAGGAGAGGCGATAGCCGGCCTCTCCTCCCTCATGGGCAGCCTACTTAAGGCTGCCCCGGGCCCATCTCCAGTCTCTGGGCCTGCAACAGCTGATCCACCCACCCACCCTGCATGCTTTTCAAGGAATTGTTCACGATTAGCTTGTTTTGTTAGTTGTCACAGTTACCTGTTCTTGCTGTTGTTCATGCTTTTTGTCACAACTCCGGTTGGCGTGGGCATGGGCCCTGGATCTGGTTTGGTATCCCCCCCTTAGCGGTAAGGGGGAACGCCTGGTGGTCTCAGAGGTGCCAAGTTTCATTGGGCCCGGTATTGTGCCGGAGGCACCCCGGTGTGTCTTGCAGTATCGGACAGCAGTGGGCTGCCTGATCCTGATCCAGGACCCATGCATGGCTGCCAACCCTTGTTCCTGTTATCAATAAATGAGTTGTGGCCATTGTTTATCCCAACACCCTTGTGTGAGTGTTTTTTCTTGGGCTGGCGGGGGGAGGTGTATCGCCCGTGCACACGCAACTAGAAACCCACTCACAGGGTTCCCCTTGGTACTCATGTGTGTATGCTTAATGTGTTATGTTTTATATCTCAATATAAAATCCTTTTGGAGAAGTATGCCACTAATCAAGACCTTTCAGTGGCCTTTTGTCAGCACCTCATGACCCAGGAAACTCCTGCTGTTTTCCTGGGCGCCATCTACATATGAAGGATTCAATCACTTATCATCCTCGGGGCCATCTATTTCTACTGACCCCATAAATCCAGCTGTGCAGAGGACAGCAGAAATCCAGGATTCGGTCCACCTGTCCTTTGTGCAGCTACTTGGACACATAAATACAGGGAGAGGTCAACCCTCCTGTTTAAGGAGCTCCATTGGCTGCCGTTCATTTTCTGGTCCCAATTCAAGGTGCAGGTGTTTACCTAAAAAGCCCTAAACGGTTTGGGACCCGCCTACCTGCGTGACCGCATCTCCGTATACGAACCCACATGATCTCTCCGATCATTTGGGAGCCCCTGCTCACAATTCCACCTGCATCGCAAGCATGTTTGGTGGGGATGAGGGACAGGGCCTTCTCCGTGGTGCCCCCCCCCGACTCTGGAACTCTCTCCCCAAGGACATCAGACAAGCCCCAACGTTGGCAGTCTTTAGGAAGAGCTTGAAAGACGTGGCTGTTCCAGTGTGCCTTCCCAGAATAGGAAACTCCAAGCATAATGTCCCAAATGCACTTTACTAGAGATTTAAGATTGTCTGCACACTGCACCTATCTCCAAAAACCTATCCATTTCACCTGTCATGCCCAGCATTTTAAAAATTTTATTCATTACATTTGGCCCAGCCTCAGTTTTAAATGCGTCGTGGTGTTACTGTCTAATGTTTATTGTTATTGTTTTAATGTTTATTGCTTTGCTTTATGAGTTTATTTATTGTTGTATTTGTTATGCTGTTGTTTTACTGATGTGTTGGGCCTTGGCCTCTTGTAAGCCGCACCGAGTCCTTCGGGAGATGTTAGCAGGGTATAAATAAAGTTAATAAATAAATAAATAAATACAGGATGGGTGATATACCTGGTTTGACACCAGCCTATTGTTGTGGTTCAGTCTGTGATTGTGTCTGATGTCAATGGGGATTATGGTTTTCCTGGGCCTGTATCTGTTGTAAATGGAGATTATGGTTTTCCTGGGCCTGTGTCTGATGTCAATAGGGATTATGGTTTTCCTGGGTTTGAGCTTTCAAGTCCCGGCCTTGTTGAAAGGCCTGATTCTGGCCTTGCTGAAACACCGGAGGTTTCTAATGAATGGAGTGCTCCTCCTGTAGATTCTCAAGGTCAAATTCCTGAGAGGGGCCCACGGCAGTCTTTCTCTGAGGAACTATCTTCTGAGGATGAATTGTCAGGTGCAAAAGTTAATGAGATTGAAGACGATAGACAAGACTTTTGTAAATTAAGAGAAAGTTCTGAAACTCATCAAAGGTCAGCCTGTCTGCTGGAAAAGAGAGATAAGAAATCCTTATCTGGTTGTAAAGGCAAACTGAATGTTTTCCTTTCATTTCATGAGACAGGAAAAGCTTTATATGAGATGAGGAAAGAATTTTAGCTCAGTCTGGTCAACGTTGGAGTTTCATGACCGTCTTGTTTCTAAGTGGATGTCTAGTTTCATGTTTCAAGTTTTGCCAGATTCCTATTCTGGGTATTGGATCTCCATTCTGTCTTGTTCTTTTGAATTTTGCATCCTTGGATCTTGTGTTTTTACCTTTGTACCTTGAAGTTCATGGACCTTTGGAGTATACTGTTTTGAACTATACTGTTTCTATTATTTATTTACTTCTCAGCCCCTAGGCGACTCATTTTTACTGCTTTGCTTACATATATCCTTCAATAAACTGCTTGGTAATTATACTGAACTGACATGGTGTTTAAGGACGGAGGTGTTCCTGTTCTGGGATACACACCTATATGAAATCTAGAGGCAAGCTGAACATGAGTCAAGGGTGTGATGCAGCAGCAAAAAAAGGCCAATGTGATCCTAGGCTGCATTGATAGGTGTCTAGGTGGAGGAAAATTATAATTTAAATATTTGAAAGATGTCACATTGAGGAGACAGGAAGCTTGTTTTTCTGAGGCTCCTGGAATCAAATGGCAGGAAAAGAAATTTCAATTAAACATGAGGAAGAACGTCCCGACATAAAGAGCTGTTTGGCAGTGGAATTGCCTGAAGTCACTGCATTTTAAAATTTGTTCTGTGTATTTTAATAGGTGTGTTTCATAGAAATGTATTTTAATATAAGTATTTCATTGAACGTTTCATAGTGATGAGTTTTTACCTATGACGTGCCCTGCCTTGAGAGCTGGGAGCAGAAGTGAGTAAGAAATAAAGTTAGACATGTATTAGTATATGTATTTCGTGGAATGTTTTGTGATGTTGTGTTTTTAACTATGTTGGGCCTCACCTTGAGCCATGAGGAGAGGCAGTTAAGAAATAAAATTATTATTATTATTATTATTATTTGTTGTTGTTGTTATTGTTGTTGTTTATTCATTCAGTCGCTTCTGACTCTTTGTGATCTCATGGACCAGGCCAGACCAGAGCTCCCTGTCGGCCGTGGCCACCTCCAGCTCCTTCAAGCCAGTCCTTTCAAGGATACCATCCATCCATCCTGTCCTTGGTCGGCCCCTCTTCCTTTTTCCTTCCATTTTCCCCAGCATCATTGTCTTCTCCAAGCTTTCCTGACTACTCATTATGTGGCCAAAGTACTTAATCTTTGCCTCTAATATCCTTCCCTCCAGGGAGCAGTCGGGATTTATTTTCTGAAGTATGGACTGGTTTGATCTTCTTGCAGTCCAAGGCACTCTCAGAATTTTTCTCTAGCACCACAGTTCAAAAGCATCGATCTTCCCTCGCTCAGCCTTCCCTAAGGTCCAGCTCTCACATCCATAGGTTGCTACAGGGAATACATTGCTTTAATTATGCGGATCTTTGTTGCCAGTGTGATATCTCTACTCTTCACTATTTTATCGAGATTGGTCATTGCTCTTTTCCCAAGAAGGAAACATCTTCTGATTTCCTGGCTGCAGTCTGTGTCTGCAGTCATCTTTGTGCCTAGAAATACAAAGTTTTCCATGGCCTGCACATTTTCTCCCTCTATTTGCCAGTTATCAATCCATCAGGTTGCCATTATCTTGGTGGGTTTTTTTTTATGTGTAACTGCAACCCAGCTTTTTCACTTTATTCTTTCACCTTGGTTAGAAGGCTCCTCAGCTCCTCCTTGCTTTCAGCCATCAAAGTGGTATCATCTGCATATCTAAGGTTGTTAATATTTCATCCAGCAATTTTAACTCCAGCCTTGGGTTTGTCAAGCCCATTGCACACATTGCATGATGAATAGGTCGGGTGAAAGTAGACAGCCCTGCCATACCCCTTTCCCAGTCTTGAACCAGTCTGCTGATCTGTGGTCTGTTCTTACTGTTGCTACTTGGTCGCTCATACAGATTCCTCAGGACAGAGACAAGGTGATTTGGTATCCTCATACCACCAATAACTTGCCACAATTTATTATGACCCACACAGTCAAAGGCATTAGAATATTCAATAAAAGAAGAAATAGATGTTTTCTGAAACTTCCTGCCTTCCTCCATTATCAAATGGACATTGGCAATTTGGTCTATCATTCTTCTGCCTTTTCAAAACCCAGCTTGTCCATCTGGCAACTCTCGCTCCATGTATTGCTGGAGTCTTCCTTGCAGGATCTTGAGCATTACCTTACTAGCATGTGAAATAGGTGCCACTGCGACAAGGCCATGATCCTTTGCAGGAGATTGTTGTTGTTGTTGTTGTTGTTGTTATTGTTACTGTTACTGTTATTATTATTACCTGGAAGTCAAATGCTGAACCTGACTCAGCACATAGAAGATGGTTTTGCAAGGAGCTGCCTTCATAGACCTGTCAGCAGCTTATGATACTGTAAATCCAACAGGCCTTTGAGCGTGTGGCATTCTGGCCAGCCCGATGACCCGGTTGTGTCTCTCTGCACTTTGTTATCGCTGATATTTTATTTATTTATTTATTTCGAACATTTTTACCCCGTGCTTCTCAACCCCTGGGGGAACTCAGGGCGGCTTACAATTAGCAATAATTCAATGCCGCATCATAAAATACAGAATAACAAATATAACAATTAAACATGAACATTAATAAATAAAGATTCAAACAGTATACTTACACTCTGATTAGCTATTGCCCATCTAGTGGCTGTTTAACTAGCCATCTACTAATGATTACTCCGCTTAACTTATCCAAATCCACTTCCATGCCATAGTAAAACATTATCAATTGTCCTTTAACCTGATTGCCCAAAGGCCTGGTCCCACAGCCATGTTTTAACTTTTTTTCTAAAGGTGAGGAGGGATGACGATGACCTAATTTCCCCGGGGAGCAAATTCCACAGGTGGGGGGCCACCACCGAGAAGGCCCTGACCCTCATCCCCGCCAAGCGTATTTGAGACAAAGGCGGGGCCGAGAGAAGGACCTCCCCAGAAGATCTTAAGCTCGGAGGTTGGCGGTAGAAGGAGATATGTTTGGACAGGTATGCTGGACCGGAGCCGTATAGGGTTTTATAGGTCAAGACCAGCACTTTGAATTGTGCTCAGAATTGGATTGGCAGCCAGTAGAGCTGGCACAGCAGGGGGGTGGTATGCTCCCGTATGATGCTCAGGTGAGTAATCTAGCTGCCGCCCGTTGGACTAATTGCAATTTCCGCCAGTCTTCAAAGGCAACCCCACATAGAGTTGATGGTTAGCTTATTCACAGGTTTTACTTAATTTTAGGAACTTTTAAAAATAATTGTTATATTTTGACTGGAATTTTATGTATATTATTGCTTTTATGCTTATGTTATATATTTGTATACTTGTATACTGTGTATTGTGGTTCAGATGCAGCACCATAGTGCTTCTGTGAGCTGTCCTGAGTCCACCAGGGAGATGGTGGCAGGGTACAAATAAAATTTGATATTATTGTTGCTATTATAAAACACAGACATGTGTCTTTCATCTCAAGAACAGAGAAGCATCCGAGCTCTGAAGATCACCTGGGAAGGAATCCCACTGGAGCATTGCAGCGCACCCAAATACTTGGGAGTCATTCCAGGCCGTGCTCTGACCTACAAGAAGCACTGCCTGAATATCAAGCAAAAAGTGGGTGCTAGAAACAATATCATACGAAAGCTGACTGGCACAACCTGGGGATCACAACCAGATACAGTGAAGACATCTGCCCTTGCACTGTGCTACTCTGCTGCTGAGTACGCATGCCCAGTGTGGAACACATCTCACCATGCTAAAACAGTGGATGTGGCTCTTAATGAGACATGCCGCATTATCACGGGGTGTCTGCGCCCTACACCACTGGAGAAATTACACTGCTTAGCCGGTATTGCACTACCTGACATCCGCCGGGAAGTAGCAGCCAATAGTGAAAGGACCAAGGCAGAGACATCTCCAGCTCATCCCCTGTTTGGGTATCAGCCAGCACGTCAACGACTTAAATCTAGAAATAGTTTTCTAAGATCTACAGAGACATTCGCTGGAACATCTCAGCAAGCGAGAGTCCAAAAGTGGCAGGCTCAAACCCAGAACCCCACCAATGGCTGATACCAAATGAGAGACTCCCCCCTCGGGCACACAGGAGACTGGGCAACTTGGAAGGCGCTGAACAGACTGCGCTCTGGCACCACGAGATGCAGAGCCAACCTTCAGAAATGGGGCTGCAAAGTGGAATCCACGACATGCGAGTGTGGAGAAGAGCAAACCACTGACCACCTGCTGCAATGCAACCTGAGCCCTGCCACATGCACAATGGAGGACCTTCTTTGCAGCAACACCAGAAGCACTCCAAGTGGCCAGATACTGGTCAAAGGACATTTAATCAACTACCAAACTCACAAATTTTGTATTTTGTCTGTTTGCTTTGTTCTGTTAGAAATGTAATATAATTGACTGGTTGCCCTGACACGACAAATAAATAATAATAATAACAATTATTATTATTATTATTATTATTATTATTATTATTATTATTATTATTATATCATTGCCCCCTTCCGAGAAAAATGTATAATATCACAAAGGATTACCACCTCGCCTGCTTCATAGAAAAACTGCTACAAAACAGGAGCTTTTATGTTGAGTTTCAGGGTCAGAGAAGCAGATGGCGGAAACAGAAGAACGGCCTGCCTCAGGGGAGCATGCTTGCTCTGTCAGTGTTTAACATTTACACAAATGACCATCCACTGCCAGGAGGGACAGAGAGTTTCATCTATGCTGATGATCGTGCCATGACTGCTCAAGCAGGGAGCTTTGAAATGGTTGAACAGAGCTCTCCGAAGGTCTAGGTGCTCTTACTGCCTATTACAGGGAAAACCAGCTGATTCCTAATCCATCTAAAACACAGCCATGTGCTTTACATCTTACAAACAGACAAGCACCTCGAGCTCTGAGGATTACCTGGGAAGGAATCCCACTGGAGCACTGCAACACGCCCAAATACCTGGGAGTCACTTTGGACCGTGCTCTGACCTACAAGAAGCACTGCCTGAACATCAAGCAAAAAGTGGGCGCTAGAAACAACATCATACGAAAGCTGACTGGGACAACCTGGGGATCACAACCAGTCACAGTGAAGGCATCTGCGCTTGTGCTTTGCTACTTTATTGCTGAGTATGCATGCCCAATGTGGAATACATCTCACCATGTTAAAACAGTGGATGTGGCTCTTAATGAGACATGCCTCATTATCACGGGATGTCTATGTCCAATACCTCTGGAGAAATTATACTATTTAGCCAATATTTAGCCACCGGGATTGTGGCACAGCTGGCTGAGTGTCAGCTGCATTAAGATCACTCTGACCAAAAGGTCATGAGTTCGAAGCCAGCCTGAGTTGGAGTGGGTTTCCAACCAATTGTGTGTAGCCTGTTGTCGACCTTTGCAACCCGAAAGACAGTTGCATCTGTCAAGTAGGAAAATTAGGTACCACCTTGAAGTGTGGGGAGGCTAACTTAACTAATTTATGAGGCCATAAAAAAAGACTCCCCCGGTGGCGCAGTGCACTCCAGCAAAAAGCATGCAGGGAATGCGGAAGTAGTTCATCAGTGTCGCAGATGGACGATGAAAGCGACAGCTCCCCTGGCAGCCAGAAAAAGTTAAATAGCCTCTGTCTATGTCTGTATATGTTGTATGTCAAAATTGGCATTGAATGTTTGTCATATATGTGTACACTGTAATCCGCCCTGAGTCCCCTGCGGGGTGAGAAGGGCGGAATATAAAAGCTGTAAATAAATAAATAAATAAATAAATAAATAAATAAATAAATATTGCACCACCTGACATCTGATGAGAAGAAGCAGCCAATAATGAAAGGACTGACGTATTGACACCTCCAACTGATCCTCTGTGCAGATATTGCCCAGCACACCAACACCTTAAAGCAAGAAATAGCTTCCTAAGATCTACAGAGATACTTGCGGGAACACCTCAGCAAGCAAGAGTCCAAAAGTGGCAAGCTTACACCCAGAACCTCAATCAGTGGCTGAGACCGGATGAGAAACTCCCTTCTGGGCACACAGAAGACTGGGCAACTTGGAAAGTGCTGAACAGAGTGCTCTCTGTTACCACAAGATGCAAAAGCAAACTTAAGAAATGGGGCTACAAAGCGGAGTCCACACTATGTGAGTGCAGAGAAGATCAAAGCACAGACCACTAACTACAATGCAATCTGAGCCCTGACACATGCACAATGATCGACCTTCTCACAGCGACACCAGAGACCCTCCAAGTGACCAGCTTCTAGTCAAAGGACATTAAATATAAGGCCATGTTTTTCACTTTGTTTGTGTTTTTTCTATTCATTATAACTGTATTCTCAATTTGCTTCTGACATGATAAATATAAATAAATAGCCTTGTTGTCTTTCTAGGCACCTTCTGTTTTTGACATTCAAACAACCAGCAGAAACCACTCTGTGCATGCTCAGAGGCACCCTTGCTCTTTCTCCTCTTTGCTTTTCCTTTAAACCTGCTCTTCCCTGGAATGTTAGCAACCTAGGCTTCCAAAGAACATCTCTTCTCAGCTTCAGCTGCATCCTTTGTTCCTTTTTTTGTAGCATCTCTTCCAGCTCTCTCCAGCTTTTGTGGCCTGGACTATCTTTCCCAGCATGCTCTCTCCTTGACGCGGGGAGGAGAAAGGCCACCACGTCCCTCCCCTCCTCCTTCCCCATCAGCTTTGTTAATGCCAAGGGAGGGAAAACCACACCGGAGAGAAAGATGGGGGACCAAAAGGTAAGTAAGGATGCTGATGGGGAAGGATGCTGGGGATGCAGCAATGGCTGGACCAGAGGGAGGAAAGGCTGCCATTGTCAAGAGTGACTTCTTCCTTTCAGCCGTGCTTTGGAGCCCTTCTTCCTCTCCTCCATCCCTAGGCTCCTTCTTTTTTATCCTCTGCTTTGTCATCTTCGTCCTGCTATGTTAAGGGAGGAAGGAAAAAGATAGGCCTGTCCCCTGCTTCTGAACAATTGATGGGGAGTGGAGGAGGAAAAGGAGGAGGAAATACTCGGAATGGAGCGAAGGAGAGAGACCTGCAGGGTAGTCATAGCTTCAGGGTTCTGTATGCTCTTTCTGTGTTCAAATGACAACCCTCAGCACATAGAAACCCAGCATGTCAAAGGATATGGCTCTTGATATGCTACTTTTCTCTGATTTAACAAATTTTGAAAATCACAGCAGGAATCTTTTGCCACATTAGCCCAGGTTGGCATTCCAGGAGTATAGCTAGATGAGAAAGCAGGTATGTGTCTGCTTTCCTTCCTTCCTTCCTTCCTTCCTTCCTTCCTTACTTACTTACTTACTTACTTAAAGTCTAGCTGTAAATTATAGAATAAACAGTGGTTCTTACAGTTGAACAGCACCAGTGCTTCCACTTCTGTAGTGATCACCCTTCTGATGGTTTTTTGAACTGAGGCTGGATGGCTATCTGTCAGGAGAGCTTTGTCTGTGCCTTCCTGCCTTGTTGAACAAGGTTGCTCTGCTCTTTGGGCCCTCAATATGTTCACCCCCCCCCCCCCCCCCGTCTTCAATTCATGTTATTAGTATCAAATTGGGTTTAATTTTTACACCCTGCCATATATGTAAGCATAGTGTACATATAAGAAAACAGAAGGAAACACCATCTCTTGGGAGTCAAAAGTGATACATATTTCACAACTATTTTCCAATTGAATTATTGTCAATTAAATATTCTATATTTCTATGCAATATCGGTTGCGGACTTGCCATTTCAGCATGGGCTGATCCCAAGAGTGTATTGTGATTTGTCTTTTTTTATTTGTTTGTTTTGATTTAACCCTTTTTGGATTGTAAGTGTGACTGATATTATGTACATTGTTTCCTCTTGTTGTAAGCCACCCCGAGTCCCCTTGTTGTTGTTTATTTATTTATTTATTTATTTATTTATATATTTATTTCGAACATTTTTACCCCGCCCTTCTCAACCCCTAGGGGGACTCAGGGCGGCTTCCAATTGGCAACAATTTGATGCCACGTAATAAAATAACAAAACAGCAATTATAACAGTTAAAAGCATAGACATTAAGACATAAAGACTAAAACAATATACTTACAGTCCACTGAGCTATTACCAGTCTGGTGGTTATTTATCTAGCCGTATACTCCGTTTAACTTATCCATAATCCACTTCCAAACCATAGTCAACATTGTCAATTGTCCTTTCAACCTAATTGCTCGAAGGCCTAGTCCCACATCCACGTTTTTACCTTCTTTCTAAAGGTGAGGAGGGATGATAATGACCTAATTTCCCCAGGAAGTGAATTCCACAGGCGGGGGGCCACCACCGAGAAGGCCCTGTCCCTCGTCCCCGCCAAACGTGTTTGAGACAGAGGCAGGGCTGAGAGCAGGGCCTCCCTAGAAGATCTTAAACTCGGAGGTGGGACGTAGAAGGAGATACATGCAGACAGGTATGCTGGACCGGAGCCGTATAGGGTTTTATAGGTCAAAACCAGCACTTTGAATTGTGCTCGGAATTGGATCGGCATCCAGTGGAGCTGGCATAACAGGGGGGTGGTATGCTCCCTGAATGACACTACGGTGAGTTATTTAGCTGCCGCCCGTTGGACTAATTGCGGTTTCCAAACAGTCTTCAAAGGCAACCCCACGTAGAGCTCGTTGCAGTAATCTATTCGGGATGTGACAAGAGCATGGACCACCATGGCCAGATCAGACTTCCCAAGGTACGGGCGCAGCTGGCGCACAAGTTTTAACTGTGGAAAAGCTCTCCCGGCCACCACCAAGACCTGGGGTTCCAGGCTCAGCGATGAGTCCAGGATCACTCCCAAGCTGTGAACCTGGGTCTTCAGGGGGAGTGTAACCCCGTGTAACACAGGCTGTAACCCTATGCCCTGTTCGGCCTTACGACTGTTACTCCTTCCTTTCCTCCCTCCCTCCCTCCTCCCCCCCTCCTTTCATTTCTTTCCTTCTCTTCCCTCCCTCCCTCTTCCTTCCTTTCCTTCTTCCTTCTTTCTTCCTCCTCTTTCTCCCTCCCCTCCTTCTTCCTTCCTTCCTTCCTTCCTTCCTTCCTTCCCTTCCTTCCTTCCTTCCTTCCTTCCTTCCTTCCTTCCTTCCTTCTCCTTTCCTTCCTCCTCTTTCCTTTCTCTCTTTTCTTTCTCTCCTTCCTTCCTTTCCTTCCTTCCTTCCTTCCTTCCTTCCTTCCTTCCTTCCTTCCTTCCTTCCTTCCCTCTTCTCCTCCTTCCTTCCTTCCTTCCTTCCTTCCTTCCTTCCTTCCTTCCTTCCTTCCTTCTTCCCCTCTTTCCCCTTCTGCTCACTTCCTTTCTAAAATTGCTACCAAGGAGAGCGGGTAAATAATGATGATGATGATGATGCAAGGAAGCTGATGAAACAATAAATCACATCCTCAACTGCTGCAAGAAGATCGCACAGACGGTCTACAAGCAGAGACACAACACCATTGCTCAGATGATTCATTGGAACTTGGGCCACAAACACCATCTGCCTGCAACAAAGAACTGGTGGGATCACAAGCCTGAAAAAGTTACAGAAAATGAACACGTCAAACTCCTCTGGGACTCCCAAATTCAGACAGAATTTTGGAGCACAATACTCCTGACCTTTCGATCATGTTAAAAAACAAAGTATGGATCATCGATGTTGCAATCCCAGGTGACAACAGAATTGAAGAGAAGCAACTGGAAAAGCTGACATGATATGAGTATTTAAAGATCAAACTGCAAAGACTCTGGCACAAGCCAGTAAAGGTGGTCCCAATGGTAATCGGCACACTGGGTGCAGCGCCTAAAGACCTTGGCCTGCACTTAAACACAATCAGCGCTGACAAAATTACCATCTGCCAGCTGCAGAAGGCCACCTTACTGGGATCTGCATGCATTATTCGCCGATACATCACACAGTCCTAGACACTTGGGAAGTGTCCGACGTGTGACCCAATACAACAGCCAGCAGAGTGATCTTATCTGCTGTGGACTCATCTTGTTGTGTTTCAAATAATAATAACAATTTAATTTACTTATTATGTCAGAAGCAAGTTGAGGGTACTGTTAAAATGGATTTTAAAACTTGACATGTTAAATGTCCTTTGACCAAAAGCTGGCCAATTGGAGTGCCTCTGGTGTCGCTGTGAGAAGGCCCTCCATTGTGCATGTGGCAGGGCTAAGGTTGCATTTTAGTCAGTGGTCTGTGGTTTCCTCTTCTCTGCACTCGCATGTTGTGAACTCTGTAGCCCCATTCTTAATATTGGCTCTGCATCTCATGGTGCGAGAGCGCAGTCCGTTAAGCGCCTTCCAAGTTGCCCAGTCCTCTGTGTGCCCAGGAAGGAGTTTCTCATCTGGTCTCAGCCACTGATCAAGGTTCTGGGTTTTAACCTGCCACTTTTGGATTCTTGCTTGCTGAGGTGTTCCTGCAAGTATCTCTCTTGTATCCACTATTTCAACATGGTCTTCCACACTGGGCATGCATATTCAGCAGCAGAGTAGCCAAGCGCAAGGGCAGATGTCTTCGCTGTATCAAGTTGTGGTCCCCAGGTTCTTCCAGTCAGCTTTCTAGCACCCACTGTTTGCATGTAAGTCAGAGCACAGTCCAAAGTAACTCCCAGGTATTTGGGTGTGCTGCAGTGCTCCAGCAGGATTCCTTTCCTGGTAACCCTCAGAGCTCAAGGTGCTTGTCTGTTCTTAAGATTAAAAGCACATGTCTGTGTTTTAGATGGATGAGGAATCAGCTGGTTTTCCCTGTAATAGGCCGTAAGAGCACCTAAAAATTCGGAGAGCTTCTGTCCAACCATTTCAAAGCTCCCTACTTAAGCTGTGATGGCACAATCGTCAGCATAGATGAAACTCTCTGTCCCTTCTGACAGTGGCTGGTCATTTGTGTAAATGTTAAACATTGATGGAGCAAGCACGCTCCCCTGAGGCAGACCGTTCTTCTGTTTTTGACAGGGATTGGGGCGACTGATATAATCTTATCATCTAGCACAGTGGTTGAAGGCCAGGGTGGTTGCAGGAACACCCAAGAGTAAGCATATTACAACAGTGGTTCTCAACCTGTGGGTCCACAGATGTTTTGGCCTTCAACTCCCAGAAATCCTAACAGCTGGTAAACTGGCTGGGATTTCTGGAAGTTGTAGGCCAAAACATCTGGGGACCCACAGGTTGAGAACCACTGATCTAACATATCTGAGAATTTAGACCAATCTGCCTTTCTGAAGTGGAATCTTTGTTTAAATCTAACTTCCTGAGACCTTATAGTTGGGAACACTTGATATACTATTGGCTGGTTTTGTGTGTTTGGTATTGGTGGTCCCACTGATTTAGTGCATTGCTGCACAAATAGGTCGGGGTTATATCCTCAGTGCCATCTCTCATAGTTGTAGGATGGTGGACATGAGAGAAGCCTCCCTGCAGGATCGTAATACATCCGGGCGTCCCCTGGGCAACGTCTTCATAGATGGCTGATTCTGTCACACCAGAAGCGACTTGCGACTTGCAGCATGATTATGATGATGATGATGATGATGATGATGATGATACAGGATGTTAGATGAGAATTTGGATGTGAAAAGGAGATCCCCCCCAGAAGTTGCTTACCCATTTGTCCATCCAGCCATCTATTCATATCTATCTATTAGGGCTGGGCGGTTTCGTTTCGTAATTTCGTAATTCGTTAAAAATTCGTTATTTTTTTTTATAACGAAGCGATATTGAACCATTCAGGAGCATCTTAAAAACGAAACGAATTTTTCAATTCGTTTCGTAATTGCTTCGTATTCGTTTCGTATTCGTTTCGAAATCGTTTCGAAATCATTTCGTTATTATTTCCGCATGTCTGGGGCAAGTTTTATAGCTGTTGTTTGTTTAATCAGTGAAAAAAAATTATAAATATCACACCAACAGTCAACAACAGAGGGAGAGGGAAGCTTCAGAAGTTCCCCCTGTCCCATATGGAGGTTTTTTAGCGTATTGCGCGGTCGCGTCCGCCATTAACGAATCAATTCGTATTCGTTTTGTATTCATTTCGTATTGTTTCGTAATTTTACGAAATTTCGTAAATATCGAACTTTTTTAAAGAAAAATTTCGGAATTCTTTTAAATATCGAAACGCAAAAAACCCCAAAAAACGAATCGAGTTTAGAAACAAATTTTTCCGTGGTTGCCCAGCCTACTATCTATCTATTCGTATCTATCTATCTATCTATCTATCTATCTATCTATCTATCTATCCATCCATCCATCCAAATATCTATTTATGTATCCATCTACCCATCCACCCAGCTATCCATCTATCACAGCTTTTACAAAGGCATAAACTTTCATAGGACATTATCAATGTTTCAGTAGAGATCACAATTACCTCCTGCAATTTTTTGTGTGTAAAATCCACTTTTAAGAAACCCTCCTCTCTCTCTCTCTCTCTCTCTCTCTCTCTCTATATATATATATATATATATATATATATATATATATAAACAAATATATATTTGTATATATTTGTGTGTGTGTGTATATATATATGTGTGTGTGTATATATATATATATATATATATATATATATATATATATATTCTCTCTCTCTCTCTCTCTCTCTCTCTCTCTCTCTCTCTCTCTATATATATATATATATAGCAACCTTTGTGTAAATTTGCACCAGCTGTGACCGTACCTCATGAAGGCGGATATGGCCAGGGTGGTCCATGCTTTAGTCACCTCCAGATTGGATTTTCCAATTGGTACAACGGGCAGCAGCCAGGTTACTAACTGGTATGACTTACAGGGAGCCGTCAACCCCCCTGTTTAAGGAGCTACATTGGCTGCCATTTATTTTCCGGTCCCAATTCAAGGTGCAGGTTCTTACCTACAAAGCCCTGAACGGTTTGGGACCCACCTACCTGCGTGACCGCATTTCTGTGTACGATCCCACACGATCTCTTCGATCATCTGGAGAGGCCCTGCTCTCACTCCCGCCCCTCTCGCAGGCGTGGTTGGTGGGGACGAGGGAGAGGGACTTCTCGGTAGTGGCCCCCCGACTCTGGAACTCACTTCCCAGGGATATCAGGCATGCCCCAACATTGGCAGTCTTTAGGAGGAGCCTGAAAACGTGGCTGTTCCAGTGTGCCTTCCTGGAATAAGGAAATAATTCCCAGCAAAATGTCCTCAGAATGCACTTTAACAATTTGTTGGATTGCGCTCCCCTCACTTCTTTTAAAACCCTCCTACCAGATATATCCTACCTTGTTCATGCGCAGTGTTTATTTTTTAATTTTAAACTATTACATTTGGCCCGGCCACAGGTTTTTAAATCCTTGTGTGTTATTGTTTGTATGTGATTTATACTAATTGTATTGTTTTTTCATAGAATCATAGAATCATAGAGTTGGAAGAGACCGCATGGGCCATCCAGTCCAACCCCCCTGGTTTATTGCTTTCTTGTTTTATTGATGTGTTGTTGGGCTTGGCCTCATGTAAGCTGCTCCGAATCCCTTGACAAGATGGTGGCGGGGTATAAATAAAGTTATTATTATTATTATTATTATTATTATTATTATTATTATTATTATTAAGCTTTCTGGAAGATGCTCATCCTTGCACAAGCTTCTTTTTTTACCCCACCTTTTAAAAAGTCACATTCTCATGCACGTTCTTTTTCCTCTTCGGAATAGGACGCTCTACGTAAAATCATCACCACGCTTGCTGTGAAAAATGAAGAAATCCAGAACTTCATCTATGTCCTCAAACAGATGCTCCAGAACTTAGAGGTAATGCTCCAAATTCAGCTGACTGGATCTCGAAGGTGCAAAACCACCCCCTGTATGTGTAAGGGCTGTATGTGAGTTGACTGTTGGGGTTTGTTCCAGATTCCAAAGGATTCTATGCTCCTTTAAAGTCTGGAATGAAAGGGGAATCACAGCATCCCTGACACAGAAACTACTAATCCCAACTGCAACCCCTCTTTGAAATTGTTCCGTGATGAAAAACGGGGTATAAACTTATTAAAGGGAAGGGAGTTTCTCTACTGGCTTCCGGGTTAACCCCGTTTTGTTGGCTTCCTTCAGGCCAATTCAGATCGGGTCCAGAAAGACTTGGAAGCTGAGTTCCAGTCGCTGTATGTTCTACTGGATGAACTGAAGGAAGGGATGGTCATGAAGATCAAACAAGACCGGGCCAGCCGGACCTATGACCTGCAGGTAAGGGAGTGCTGTCTTCGATAAACAGCTGCCATTGTCTTGCCTCAGAAGGAGAGAAGACCAGCCAGGTATAGATTCATAATGACTTGACCTTGTGGTTGACGAGAGGCCCTCGCTCCATCCTCCAGATGCCATTGTCCTTGCCTTTGAGAGAGACACAAGCCTCCAGGCTCCGATCCATCCTGCATTGGCTCTCCTTCCAAGGTCCTGCTGCCTTGGAGGGAGAGACACGCAGCTTGACTCAGATCCTTTTTATTTATTTATTATTTATTTATTAAGAGCATTTCTTTCTCGTCCTTCTTGCCTCCGAAGAGGGACTCAGGATGGCTACCAGCAGGCACCATTTGGAGCCAAACAATATACAACATAAAGTACATTTAACCTACATTAAAAACAGTTATAAATACGAGGGGTATTTTTTTAAGTAAGGTCTGTTTGAACATAAGTACACAACGAAAGTTTATTTCAAAAAAGTAAATTTATTTTCAGAAAGTACATACTTCACTCTATTTTTCGACATAGTTGCCAAGTTTGTTCAAACACTTATCATACCTCTGAACCAATTTTAAAATACCCTCTTCATAAAAACTTGCCGCCTGCTCCGATAACCAAGAGTTCACTGTAATCAAAGAAGGGCGACCGGAGCGGTCCTCATCATGGACGTTGTCACGGCCATCTTTGAATTGTCGTACCCACTTACGCACTTTGCTTTCACTCATAACAGTATCACCGTACACTTCACAAATCTGTCGATGAATTTCTGCAGCAGGCAGGTTCCTTGCTGACAAAAACCGTATCACTGAGCAAACCTCACATGCGGAGGGTAGGTTGATAGTCTTAAACATTTTTAAAGCACAGAACAGAACCGTACAGGTTAGCTACAGAGCGGAAACTGAGCACAGTTGTTCCCGAGGCATGCCGGTACACAACGCACGCGCTCGTTGCGGTATGTGCGTGAACTACTAGTGTCTACAACAAAACGGTCCTTACTTAAAAAATACCCCTCGTACATTAAAACAATACATCATTTCATGTCATCCATTAAAACCATCTTCAATCCAATGCCGTCAACTAAAAAAAACAGTCTGTTAAAACTATCTATCCTGCAAATGCTTGATCCCATAACCAGGGTTTGAGCTTTTTCTGGAATGTCATGAGGGAGGGGGCAGATCTAATCTCGTTAGGGAGGGCGTTCCACAGATGAGGGGCCACCACCCAGAAGGCCCTGTCTTCTTGCCTTGGAACTCCCTCCATGTCCCAACTGCCATTGCCTTGGAGGGAGAGGCAAGCAGCTTGACTCAGACCCTTCTTGCCTTGGAAGTCCCTCCATTTCCCAGCTGCCATTGCCTTTGCCTTGGAGAGAACAGTAGCCAGGCAACAGATCCATCATACATTTGGCTCTACTGCCATTGCCCTTGCCTGGGAGGGAGAGAAGAGCAGCCAGGCTCAGATCCACCGTGCTTGATGTCGTATTTAAATTGTGTTACCTATAAATATACTGGACAGTTAGTATTTGTTGGGTCTGATGAGGTCTGTAGTTTTAGCTGGCAACTCTGTTAACTAAAATAACATTTCTATCTTTTTGTTTTCTGAATGGAGCCAGCCTATCCTTGGCCATTTCTTTCCTCTTTTGGCCTCTCCACTCCTCTCTTTGGTCTTTTTGGCAGAACCAGCTGGCTGCCTGCACCAAAGCTTTGGAGAGTTCCGAGGAGCTGCTGGAGATGGCCAACCAGACCTTGCAGGGAGCTGAGAACCACGATTTCAACCAGGTAAAAGCCCGAAAAAAATAATAATCAGGAAACCACACTGGCTTCCGGGTCAGGAGTATGCCGAATAGCTTCTGTCGGAGTCTGAAAGACATTGGTTAGGAAAGGGTCGTCAACCTGGGGATTGGGACCCCTGAGGGGGTTGCAAGTGGGTTTCAGGGGGGTTGCCAAAGACCATCAGAATATATATATATATATATATATATATATATATATATATATATATATGTGTGTGGCGTTTCGGAAATTATGGCCTATATCTAGTTCCCTGAATAGAATTCCCAACTCAGGTTGTCAAAGGCCTTTTCGGCGTCTATGGCCATTAAAGCCAGTTCTTTTTCATGATGTGGCAGAGAAGGGTGAAGGTCTCTCCACCTGTCCTTCTCTTCCTTTTTGGAAGCAGATGGTGAATCCTTCCACCAAAAGCCCTCCTCCTCTGTGATTGGCTGGCCTCTCGGAGAAGGGGAGGGCTGATCCTGAGACTCCAAGCGGGGGAGGGGAGAGCAGGTGTGCTTGTGCATGCAACATGGTGCGCATGTGCATGCAACGGAGAGCACGTGAGGTTGGAGGGAGGCTCACACCAGCAAGTCCTTTCAAGGCATGGGGCTTCTGTGTGGGAAGTTTGGCCCAATTCTATTGTTGATGGGGCTCAGAACGCTCTTTGATTGTAGGTGAACTACAACTCCAAAACTCAAGGTTAATGCCCACCAAACTCTTCCAGTATTTTCTGTTGGTTGTGGGAGTTCTGTGTGCCAAGTCTGGTTTAATTCCATCGCTAGTGGGGTTCAGAATGCTCTTTGGTATAAATCCCAGCAACTACAACTCCCAAATGACAAAATCAATCCCTCCCCCGAACCCCACCAATATTCAAATTTGAGCGTATTGAGTACTTGTGCCAGATTTGGCCCAATGAATCCTGCATATCAGATATTTACATTGCAATTCAGAACAGTAGCAAAATGACACTTATGAAGTGGCCACGAAAATAATTTTATGTGGGTGTCACCACAACATGAGGAACTATATTAAGGAAGTGTGACCTTAACAAGGTTGAGAAACACTGCTGTAGATGCTCCTTTTGATGGCTGAACTCCATGTGACTCCTTGCCTTGATTTTTCTTTCTTTTTCTTTCTGCTTTTCTCCCTTCATTCAACCACTTGGCACTGCTTCGAAGGCTGCGAAACAGATCAAGGACAGGTATGTAGCACACTTGAAAAAGGCCTCACCTTCCGTCTTTTGCATATAATCCAAGTCTTTAGGGCACACAATAAGGCAACAGTCTCCTTCCCATCCCAACCAAAAATCCAAGTAGGCAAACCCAACAGTACCTTGTTGCCTTTGCGGGCTGTTCCCTGACTCTTCTGTTCTTCTTCGCTTTGTCTCCAGCATCACCATGGCCCCTGCCTTCCGCCTGTCCCTTAAGGCCAAAGTGAGTGACAATATGAGCCACTTGATGGTCGATTTCGCACAAGAACGTCGGATGATACAATCTCTAAAGTTCCTGCCAGGTAACCAATGATATTTCAGGTCCAAATGGTGCCCACTGATGCATATAGGCAGCTCTGATTTCAATGTATTGTTGAAGCCTTTCATGGAATCATTGGGTTGCTTAAGTTTTTTGGGCTGTATGGCCATGTTCCCCGTAAGCCCCCCAGGTGTCATGGAACATGGCCACACAGCCCAAAGAACTTACAGCAGCCCAGCTCCGATTTCCCTTGCAGTGCTGTCGTGGAGATAATGACAAGGAAGGGGAAGGTCACTGTTTCCCTTTCTTTTTCTGTCAGAAACCACATTGTTATGCTAATAATGCCAAGTTTGAAACTAGGGAAAGTTGTTGAGACTTTTCGCAGTCATTCTAACTAATGCACCATTTTGCCATTGTTCCAAGTTTGACTCCCAGTTGGTTCTTCCTTTCTGTCCCAATACGGCAGATCACATCTCCCCATCATCCCTCACCAGTGAGGTCATGAGTGATGGGAGTTGTATTCTGGATGCAATCATAGTTGTTAGTTTTAACAATGAATTTGTGACTCACATCTTTCTATATTTTAATCTTTCTTCCATGTATTTGAATATGCGCATTTCATGGAAAGACGTGTCAACATGTGTATTTAACACAATGCCATTTTGCTATTTTTTTCACTGTGTTGTGAACTGCCTCATGCCACAGGAAGAGGCCGTAAGAAATAATAATAATAATAATAATAATAATAATAATAATACGACCATGCCATACAAGGTGACAGTCGCATTGAGGAAAAACAACAGGAAAAACTCAGCCATTATCAAGACCTCAAAATCAAACTGCAAAGGCTCTGGCATAAACCAGTACAGGTGGTCCCAGTGGTCATTGGCACACTGGGTGCCTTGCCAAAATATATCAGCCGGCATTTGGAAACAATAAACATTGACAAAATCACGATCTGTCAACTGCAAAAGGCCACCTTACTTGGATCTGCACACATCATTTGAAAATACATCACACAGTCCTAGACACTTGGGAAGTGTTCGACTTGTGATTTTGTGATACGAAATCCAGCATATAGATCTCATTTGCTGTGACATACTGCGTTGATGGAATGGGCTTTTGTCAGTAAAATAATAATAATAATAATAATAATAATAATAATAATAATAATAATTGTGATTACTATTATGACTATTGTGACTATAATAATAATGATTATTTTGATTACTATTATTACAATTAGTATTATTATTTCATCATTCCAATTTAATGTAAAGCTTTCTTCAGAACAATAAGGACTGGAATCCTGAACGTTCTACTCACCAAAGCTATACTCTTATGAGATGTATGTTTCATTAGTGAACTTTATAGCTGCCATTATGGATTACCACCTCACCTGCTTCCTAGGAAATCTGCTTCAAAGCAGGAGCTTTTTTGTTGAGTTCCAGGGCCAGAGAAGCAGATGGTGGAAACAGAAGAACGGCCTGCCTCAGAGGAGCGTGCTTGCTCCGTCAGTGTTTAACATTTACACAAATGATCTGACACTGCCAGAAGGGACAGAGAGTTTCATCTGGGCTGATGATCGTGTCATCACCGCTCAAGCAGGGAGCTTTGAAATGGTTGAACAGAAGCTCTTCGAAGCTTTAGGTGCTCTTGCTGCCTATTACAGGGAAAAACAGCTGATTCCTCATCCATTTAAAATGCAGACGTGTGCTTTTCACCTTTAGAACAGACAAGCATCTTGAGCTCTGAGGATTATCTGGGAAGGAATCCCACTGGAGCATTGCAGCACACCCAAATAACTGGGAGTCACTCTGGACCGTGCTCTGACTTACAAGAAGCACTGCCTGACTACCAAGCAAAGAGTGGGTGCAAGAAATAATGTCATATAAAAATTGACTTGCACAACCTGGGGATCACAACCAGACACAGTGAAAACATCTGCCCTTGCGCTTTGCTGCTCTGCTACTGAATATGCATGCCCTTCTCACCATGCTAAAACAGTGGATGTGACTTAATGAGACATGTCGCATTATCACAGGATGTCTCCACCCTACACCACTGGAGAAATTATACTGTTTAGCTGGTACTACACCACTTGACATCCGTCAAGAAATAGCAGCCAATAATGAAAAGACCAAAGCATTTACATCTCTGGCCCATTGTTTGTTTGGATATCAGCCAACACACCAATACCTTAAATCAAGAAATAGCTCCCTATGATCTACAGAGATGCTTGCAGAACACCTCAGCAAGCGATAGTCCAAAAGTGGCAGGCTAAAACCCAGAATCTCAGTCAGTGGCTGATACTAGATGAAAATCTCCCACCCGGACACACAGAAGGTTGGGTAACTTGGAAGGCGCTGGCACCATAAGATGTAGAGCCAATCTTAAGAAATGGGACTACAAAATGGAGTTCATGATATGTGAGTGTGAAGAAGAACAAAGCCTGAGGCTTACCACATGCACAATGGAGGATCTTCTCACAGCGACACCAGGGGCACTCGAAGTGGCCAGCTTCTGGTCAATGGAAATTTAGTATAAGGCCAAGTTTTTAATTTTGTTTGTGATTTTTCTATACATTATAACTGTATTCTCAATTCGCTTCTGACACAGTAAAATAAACAAATGAATAGCTATCATTTACAGAGAAAATATTATGATGATTATTACAGTTTGGAGAACTACATTGTTGTTGTTGTCAATTTCTGCCTAGTCCCCAGCGCACCAGAGATCGACTTGGCCGAATCACTGGTAGCTGACAACTGCGTGACACTGGCCTGGAGGATGCCCGACGAGGACAGTAAGATTGACCATTATGTGCTAGAATACCGCAAGACCAACTTCGAGGGTCCACCCCGGGTGAAAGAAGACCAACCGTGGATGGTCATCGAAGGAATCAAGGAGACTGAGTACACTCTCTCCGGTGAGTCTGGGGTTTTGCATGGTGTTCATTGATGGAATGGGCTATCAAGGAGAGGCAGGTAAATAATAATAATAATAATAATAATAATACCTAGAGGCATCCAACTGTACATGCAGCATGCAGAAAGTTAGCTGAGAATTTGGATGAGAAAAACCAATCCACCCAGAAGTTACTTATCCATCCATCCACTCATCTATCCACCCTTCTATCCATCTATCTATCTATTCATCCATCCACACATCTATCTATCTATCTATCTATCTATCTATCTATCTATCTATCTATCTGTCTATCTATTTATCTATCATCTATCTATCTATCCATTTATCCATCTATCCACCCATGCATCCATCCACCCAGCTATCCACCTATCTACCTACCTATCTATCCATCTATCCATCCACCCATCCATACATACATCCACCCAACTATCCACCTATCTATCCAACCACCCATCTATCCACCTATTTATAGATCTATCGATCCATCCATCCACCCATCTATCCACCTATCTATCCATCTATTCATTCATCCACCCACACATCTATCCACCTATTCATCCATCCATTTACCTATCCATCCACCCACCCACTCATCTATCCACCTATCTATCCATCTATCTATCCATCCATCCACCCACCCACCCATCTATCCACCTATCCATCCATCCATCCATCCATCCATCCATCCATATCTATCTATGGAAATGGCATTTAAATTTCCCCTTTACTAATGTTGTTTAAATGTGTTTTATAGGATGGTTATTCTTGCTTTGATTACTATTTGTTTTATACCATTTAAATGGTATTTTATTTAAATTGTATTACTTACTTATTACAGTCCAAGCCATTGAATATTTGCCTTTTGATGTCTGCGAACCACCCTGAGTCCCCATGGGGAGATGGAGTGAGATATAAATAAAGTTTTGTTGTTGTTGTATCTATTTACCTATCCATCTGTATCTATCTATCCATCCATCCATCCAACTATCCTTCCATCTACATATCTATCTTTGCATCCATCTATCCATCCATCCATTCTAACTATTCATCTATCCATCCGTCCGTCCATCTATTCATCTATCTATCTATCTATCTATCTATCTATCTATCTATCTATCTATCCATCCATGGGGTAGAACATTGCCATGGAGACATTCTAGGAGGAGCATAGCATTGCCTTGGAGATGTTTTTGACTTCTCAGAGTGTCAGCAAAGATGGAAGTGAGCTGGAGAAGGGAGTCTTGATAATTCAGTTCTTAACAGGATCCTATACTTTTCATTTCCATGTTGACAACCTATCTTTAACCCGCAGGGCTGAAATTTGACATGAAGTACATGAATTTCCGGGTCAAAGCCTGCAATAAGGCCGTGGCGGGGGAGTTCTCGGAGCCCGTCACTTTGGAAACCAGAGGTGAGGAAGGAGGTTGAGAGAAGGGTTTCTGCCAACTATAACAAGTCCCCACCTAGTCTAATCCCCTTCAGCCATGGAGGAGGACACAATCCGATCCCTCCCAACAGATGGCCATCTAGCCTCTTTTTGGGAGGGAGACTCCACTAGACTCCCAGGCAGTCTATACTTCACTAGATTTAGAAAAGGCCTGAAAGTGCATCTAATTCAACCCCCTTCCACAAGACAGGAAGACACAGTCAAAGCCCTCCCAACCGATGGCCATCCAGCCTCAGTTGAGAAACCTCCAGAGAAGGATAATCCATTGCAAGAGACTCTCAAGGGGAATCTAGTCCAACCCCCTTCTGCCAGGCAGGAAGGCACAGTCAAAGCCCTCCCAACAGATCACCATCCAGCCTCAGAGAGGGAGACTCCGTCGAGCGGCCTTCTCCGCGTTGGTCACACTTGGCTTTTCTTTGTCCTCAGCCTTCATGTTTCGCTTGGATGCCACCACCAGCCACCAGAACCTCAAGGTGGAGGACCTCAACGTAGAATGGGACGCTATGGGCGGAAAGGTGCAGGACATCAAGGCCCGGGAAAAGGACGGCAAAGGCCGCACTGCCTCTCCAGTGAACTCTCCTGCCAGGTATGAGAACCGTGTTTCCATAGGACACCTTGAGGTCTTGTTTTCTGCTGCATCACAAGAAGCGGCGGGTTCAGATTGCAGGGCAAGAGACTTGGTGCTTTACCTCCCAGTCTCCTCTTTCTCCCTTCAGGTGTGTGCAGTCCCCGAAAAGAATGCTGACGGGACGTGGTGGAAGAGACCGCTTCACTGCCGAATCTTATACGGTCTTGGGTGAGACTCATATGGATTTCCTCATACATAGGGTTGCTGGCGCCTGGTGTTTACTAGTACAGGCAGTCCTGGAGTTACAAACATTTGAATGACAAACAACTCCTAGTTAAGAACGGGGATGAGACAACACGAAGTGAGAGAAATCTTCCCCTCCGAATGAAGGAAGAGTTATTTTCATGGGGAAAAGGTGTCACTACCGAAACTTTGTCTCCAATCCTTGTTTCCACAACAAGCCACATTTTTCAATATCCAGAAGGTTAAGGGAAATCTACCGAACAGGGTCAGAAACAAACACCGCAGGTGCCATATATATGTGTGTGTGACACACACACACACACACACACACATACATACATACACACGCACACACGCACACACCAGCTTGGGTACCAGGCGTTGCCTGGGTTATTTGAAAAAGTCCATTTTTAATTGTACAAAATGCATAAGGTTGTGGGTGAACTACTGTTCTGTCGCGTGCTGGGCCTGTAAAGAATTTCCTTTAGAACAGGACGTGCAACCTTTGCCCAGCGGGAAGCCAGGGGGCCCAAAGAGAAGTTCTCAGAGGTTTTCCACCACAAATGATCTTTAGATGGCTTGTGAAGTATAACAAAGTCTTTTATTAATGAACAATCAAACAGAAACTTCTCTTGTCTTCAATAAAGCTAAACAAATGCTTCCAGGCTTTATGCAACTGGTGACTTCCTAATCTTGCCCACGAAGGACAGGCAACTGTCTTCAATAACTTCTTCTTTACTTTAAATGAAAATCCCCTTTTTAACTTCTCCCAGGCTGACTGTAATCTAACCCTTACTGATGTGGGCTCCGCTACCGGGTCAAACTGCATCTCGAAGCACCGAGTGGACCTACCAGTAAAGGCTTAGATATTCTCCAGCTGGAGTTCTTTGGTCTTTAGGGCTGTTTTCCTGGAAATCTTTGGAGACTCTTAAGACTGTTTCCCCCCGGAAAGTCTTGGATGCTCTTAAGACTGTTCTCCCCCGGAAAGTCTTAAGGGTTGAAGCTTTTGTACAGGGGAAGCTTGCACACGTCCTGTACATTAGCTTTCCTTGCTGAGACTAACTAAAAAATGGCTCCCTTTCCTTCCCAATTGCCCTGAGCAAGTGGCGGGACCAAAACTTAACGATGATGGGCAGGTGACTTGCCCTATGACTGAAACCAAAGGAAGCCACCTATCTGCAGAGTCCCTGAAACCTAGGACTGCAAACAAACATTTAATACAAAGCAAATAAAGTTGGAGCTCCTGGTACAGCCGTACCATCACAACTACAACTCACATAATGCCAGGTTAACCCCCTGAAACTCCATCAGAACTTAAAGTTTGTGATGGGCAAGTTTGCTCTGGATGCATCATGGGTGGGGTTCAGTATGCTTCCTGACTGTAGGGTAAACTACACCTCCCACTATGATGAGTCAATCCCCTCAAAGCCCTCCAGTAGGTTGAGTTAGTAATGGGGGTTCTGTGTGCCAAGTATGGTCCAGGTCCAACATTTGTGGAAGTTGCAGTTTCTCTGGTTGTGGGTGGACTACAACTTCCAGAAAGGAAGGTCAGTTCCCTGCAAACCCCTCCAGTAATCTAATTTCAACATATCAGATCTGTGTGCCAAGTTTGGTCCAGATCCAGCAGTGTTTGTGTTCACAGTGCTCTCTGGATGTTGGTGAACTGCAGTTCCCTCAAATCAAGGTGAATTTCTGTCACCCGTTCTTATCTCAGTTTCTTCGACCTTTAAACGAAAGCAGCTCTTCTACTTTATTTACAACTATGTACAGCACATTCTCTGTACATGTCTGCACTTAATCACATCATGGCACAGAGTACAGAGCACGTTGTCTGTGCTGTCACGCGCTGGGCCTGTGAAAGAGTCTGTAGACAGAACGTGTTTTCTGAATGCCCAACGGGACGCCAGGGGTGCCTCGGCTGAGAGGCCCTTCGGATTTCCCCACACAAAGTTCTTTTAAAGACTTAGAAAGTTCAACAAAGTTTTTATTGTTGCTTAAATCTTCAGTAAATGAAACAAATACTTCAAGGCTTTGAATCAACTGGTGACTTGCTTAAATCTTGTCCACAAGGGACAGGCAACTTTCTTCATAAACTGTTTCTTCCTTCTACAAGGGAAATCCTGGACCCCTCCCAAGGCAATCTAACTTAAGCTCTGCTGGCATGGGCCCCTATACCCGGTCCAAATTGCGTTATGGCTGCCACGAGTGGTCCTTACCAAACAGAGTCCTTTAGTAGATTTCCAAGAGGAAAGAAGGCTTTCAGTTCCCAGCAAAGGCTGGCTGTAGAACAGTGGAACTGTATTTCTCCAGCAAAGAGCTGGCTGTGGAGTTGTGGAACTAAATTCCCCAACAAAGGCTATGCTGTAGTTCTCTGTAGAGCTGTGGGACCGGATCCCCCCAGCAAAGCTGTAAAAGAACAAGCTTTCTACAGGTGGAACTGATTCCCATCCTGTACGAAAGGCTTCTCTGTGTGAACTGAACTAGAGGTCCCCTTTTTCCCTCCTTAACCCAGAAAAAGGGGCGGAACTAAAGAACATAATGATAACTGATGGGTTATTGTCCCTATTATTGCAAACCAAGGGAAGCCACCTTATTGCAAAATGCATGAAACTTTGGAATGCATGCAAACACTCAATAGAAAGGAAAAGAAGTTGGGAGCTCCTGGTACAGCCGTACCAGCACATTGTCTTTCTTTTCCAGTTTGTATAGGAAACTCCAAATATAGCCTTCTATAAATTTTACACACCTTCATTGTTTTAACCCAGTGCTTCTCAACTTGGGGCTCGGGACCCCTGGGGGGGGTCACAAGAGTTGTCAGAGGGGTCACAAAAGACCATCCGAAAACACAGTATTTGTAGGTGAACTATAAATCCCAGCAACTACAACTCCCAAATGTCAAGGTCTACTTTTTCAAAACTCCACCAGTGTTCACATTGGGGCATATTGAGTATTTGTGGCAAGTTTGGTCTAGATTCATCATTGTTTGAGTCCACAGTGCTCTCTGGATGTATGTGAACTACAACTCCAAAACACAAGGCCCACCAAGCCCTTCCATTGTTTTCTGTTGGTCATGGGAGTTCTATGTGCCAAGTTTGGTTCAATTCCATCATTGGTAGAGTTTGGAATGTTATTTCATTGTAGGTTAATTATAAATCCCAGCAACTACAACTTCCAAATGACAAAATCAATCCCCTTACAACCCCACCAGTATTCAAATTTAGGTGTGTTGGGAAATCATGCTAAATTTGGTCCAGTGAATGAAAATACATCTTACATGTCAGATATTTACATTACGATTCCTAACAGTAGCAAAATGACAGTTGTGAAATAGCAACAAAAATAATTTTATGGTTGGGGGTCACCACAACATGAGGAACTGTATTAAGGGGTCATGGCAATAGGAAGGTTGAGAAACTCTGGGCTAACTAGTAAGGAATCCTAGACAATGCTAACCAATACGGCACTCCAGCTAACCAACAAAGAATCTCCACCACTAACTAACTGGTCACTAGCCAATCAGGGAAACTGTGGTATTTGGGAATGGTGGGGAGATGCTGACTATGAAATTCTCCCTCCCAGCCTCTTTCCCACTCCATTTGCCTTCCTATCTGCTGCAGGAGACACCCTGATCGATGACGGGGAGCACTACTGGGAAGTGCGCTATGACCGTGACAGCAAAGCCTTCGCAATTGGGGTGGCCTACCGATCGCTTGGCAAGTTTGACCAGCTGGGAAAGACCCCTTCTTCCTGGTGTCTCCACCTCAACAACTGGCTTCAAGTCAGCTTCACGGCCAAACACAACAACAAAGCCAAAATACTAGAAGTCCCAGTTCCAGATATCATTGGTGTCTACTGCAATTTCCATGAAGGCAAGTCTCTGTAGTGCTTAGGAAAATGACAATTCACAGGATGCTGTAACCCGTTGCCATGGCAGTTGAGGCAAATTCATAGGGTCAGAATTGTGGGTAGGTTTTCCATGCTCATTCCACAGATATATAAACCCATTTTCCTAGTTCCAACAGACCTCACTACCTCTGAGGATGCTTTCCATAGATGCAGGCYAAACATCAGGAGAGAATGCCTCTAGAACATGGCCATATAGCCTGAAAAAACCTACAACAACCCAAATGCCCATTTTCCCTTATGTATATGCTTTTTGTAAATAAACTGCTGTAGTTAGTTACTCCTGGACTCTGTGTGGTGCTGGGTGGAAAGGTGTTCCCAGCCTAGTGGGCGACACTCTATCTCATTATTTTTCTCATGTTGTCTGCTTCCAGGTTTCCTGTCGTTCTACAATGCTAAAACCAAGCAGCTGCTCCATACATTTCGAGCCAAATTCACCCAGCCAGTTCTCCCAGCCTTCATGGTAAGGGTTTTTTGGAGTAGATGAAACAAAATCTCAAGTCCTTCTGACTGTCAAAGCAAAAGCAGGGTAAAGCTGAAGCTGAAGGAAAGGTAGCACAGCATAGGTAAAGAGGCAGCACAAGAATATCTGGCCACTCTCAATGAATTCAAATCTCCTCGGGCCAGATAATGAGTTTTAAAGAATTTAATAATGTGGTAAATGTGTAAGTGTATTATGTCATGTTTATTTAAGTTGATAATTTATAATTTTATTGAGTTTGTTTTGGACTTGTTATATGTTATTCTTAGCATATAATAATAATAATAACAATAACAACAACAACAACAACAACATACTTTATTCTGTTCTAGCTCCCCGAGGGGACTCAGGACGAATTACAGAACACATATACATTATTAACAAGGACAGATAATACATATACAGAGGTAAAGGCTTTTCCCATCTTTTCCCATTTCCAGCATCTTGAGGCTGTGCTTGACTCTGGCCACGGGGAGGCGCCATCACACCGTCTTCCATGCTGAGGAGCCTTTGTCATCCATAGATGTCCTCCAGATTGGATTGCCCATGTCCTTATGTGTGCCTTTTATTACCTCCCTGCTTTAAAGCGGTACCTATTTATCTACTCACATTTCTGTTTCAGTCTGCTGGGTGAGCAGGAGCTGGGGCTGGTGGCAGGAACTCACCCCAACACAGGCTTGAACTGCCAACCTTTCGATCAGCAGGATTTTCTGCAGCATAGTGGTTTAACCCACTGTGCTAAGCCCGGCCACTATTTGCCACTATGTTTTATTTTGTTGTAAGCCGCCCTGAGTCCCTCCAGGGAGATAGAGCTGGCTATAAATAAAACATTATTATTATTATTATTGCCCCCTGGTGTTGCAGCAGGTTAAGCTGCTGAACTTGCTGACTGAAAGGTTGGTGGTCCGAATCCGGGGAGTGGGGTGAGCTCCTGTAGTTAGCTCCAGCTTCTGCCAATCTAGCAATTCAAAAATATGCAAATGTGATTAGATCAATAGGTACAGCTTCTGTGGGAAGGTAACGGCACTCCATGTAGTCATGCTGGCCACATGTCCTTGGAGATGTCTATGGACAACGCTGGCTCTTTGGCTTAGAAATGGAGTTGAGTACCACGCCTCATAGTCGGACAAAACAAGACCTAATGTGAGGGGAAACCTTTACCTTTATCTTATTATGGAGCAGAGGCAATACAGCACAGTATAGGTAAAGAGGCAATACAGTAATATCTGGTTAATACCCAAATGCATTCAAGTCTTCAGGGCTACTTGAATTACACCCAAGAGTATTAAAACTAAGAGTATGATGAAGCAATGCAATTCTAGACTGTGCCAATAGTGTCTAGAGCGGCCATCTTCAAACTGCGCCCCTCCAGCTGTTTTTGCCTCCAACTCCCAGAAGCCCTAGTCAGCTTGTTCAGTGGTTGGGAATTCTGGGAGTTGGAGGCCCAAACAGCTGGAGGGCCGCAGTTTGAGGATGCCTGGTCTAGAGAGAAGGAAGTAATAATATTTGTAGTCACCGATCAATAGTGGCGGATCATGGGAACTGTAGTCTCAAAAGTGCGGGGCTTTAGCACAGTGGGTTAAACTGCTAGCTGCAGAATGTCATGCTGATCAAAAGGTTGGCAGTTCAAGCTCGAGTTGCGGTGAGCTCTCAACCATCAGCCTAGCTTCTGCTAGTTCGAAAACAGTAATATGAGTAGATAAATAGGTACCGCTTTGGCGGGGAGATAATAAAAGACACCCATGCGGACATGCCAGCAATTCAATCAGGAGAGTGTCTAAAGACAACAAAGCTCTTTGGCATGGAAGATGGAGCCACAACACACACTCTCCCATGGACGGAGTCGAGCAATGCCTCCAGATGCTAGAGATGGAAAACAATAGGAAGCCTTTACCTCTTTTATGTATTGTCTGTCTGTGTTATTGTATAACAGCATTTAATGTTTTCCTTATATGTGTACTGTAATCCACCCTGAGTCCCTTCAGGAAGATAGAACAGAATATAAACAAAGTACAGTAGAGTCTTGCTTATCCGATCTTCGCTTATCCGACATTCTGACATCCAACGCTCTTATCCAACGCCCCCCTTTTCCTCCAGCATTTCCCCTTCAATTAAAGGAGTGCTCCCCAATTCTCTCTCCATTCCCAATAAGTGAGAAAGGCAAGACAAGGAAGAGGAGGAGGGAGCAAAGGGGGAAAAGAGGCTTATGGATCCGGATGGATTCCTGGCGGTTTTTGGGGGGTTTCCCGCCACCTCAGTAGGTGATCATTTTGATGCCCTGGTCACTCTCTGGAATGGGGAGATGACTAGAGCAATAGACACGATTGCTCTAGAACGTCCCCTCTCAAGTAGCCAAGCTAAACCAGCTCCTTGGTTCAACGAGGCAGCGATGAAGCAAAGGAAGAGAGAACTAGAGAGCATGCGGTGTTCAGATCCGAGTGAGCCAAATCGAACATGGCTTGTTGCCTTTCTATGGGCATATGCCATGGCAATAAAGGCCACAAAGAAATATTTCTTTGTGGTCAATATTGCATCTGCAAAGAACCATCTGGCAGAGCTATTTCGAGTTGTCAGAGGCCTTTTAAATCCCACCATCCAGGATGGGAGCCCTGACAACTCGGCACCCCGCTGTGAAGCTTTTTGCTCAGTTCTTTGCAGACAAAGTTGCTTTGATCCGTTCTGGTCTGGACACCATGTTAACGGCAATCTCTGAGGATGCAGCTGGAGCACCTGCTTCTTCGATTTTGATGGATTCATTTGATGGATTCATTGGACAAGATACTTGGAGGAATGAGGCCAACCACATGCATCCTAGACCCCTGCCCGTCCTGGCTTTTAAAGAAGGCCAGAGGGGGATTGGCCGAGTGGGTAAAGGTGGTGGTTAATGCCTCCCTTCAAGAAGGCAATATTCCGGTGAGCTTAAAACAAGCTATAATAAAACCACTGTTGAAAAAACCATCACTGAACCCCCACTCAATTCAACAACTATCAGCCAGTTTCCAATCTCCCCTTTTTGGGCAAAGTCCTGGAACGTGTGATGGCTTCACAACTCCAGGTATTCTTGGAACACATGGATTATCTGGATCCAGCACAGTCTGGCTTTAGACCGGGGCATAGAACCGAGACAGTCTTGGTTGCTTTAGTTGATGATCTACGCTAGGAGCTAGACAGGGGAGTGTGTCCCTGTTGGTTCTGCTGGACCTCTCAGTGGCCTTCGATACCATCGACCATGGTATCCTTCTGGGACGCCTCGCAGGAATGGGCCTTGGAGGTACTGCTTTGCAGTGGGTCCGGTCCTTCCTAGAGGGACGATCTCAGAAGGTGTTATTGGGAGACACCTGTTCAACCCCACAACCATTGTCTTGTGGGGTTCCTCAGGGTTCAATGCTGTCTCCCATGTTGTTTAACATCTACATTAAGCCGCTGGGGGGGATCATCCAGAGTTTCGGGGTGCGGTGTCATCTGTACGCGGATGATGTCCAACTCTGTCACTCCTTCTCACCTGCTACTAAGGAGGCTGTTCGGGTCCTGAACTGGTACTTGGCCGCTGTAACGGTCTGGATGAGGGTGAACAAATTGAAATTGAATCCAGAGAAGGCAGAGGTACTCCTGGTCAGTCGTAATGTCGGACAGGGCATAGGGTTACAGCCTGTGTTGGATGGGGTTACACTCCCCCTGAAAACGCAGGTTCGCAGCTTGGGTGTGATCCTGGACTCATCGCTGAACCTAGAACCCCAGGTTTCAGCAGTGATCAGGGGAGCATTTGCACAGTTAAAACTTGTGCACCAGCCACGCCCATACCTTGGGAAGTCTGACTTGGCCACGGTGGTTCATGCTCTGGTTACATCCCGTATAGACTACTGCAACGCTCTCTACGTGGGGTTGCCTTTGAAGACTGTCCAGAAGCTTCAAATAGTCCAACGGACGGCAGCCAGGTTACTAACAGGAGTGACGCTCAGGGAGCATGCCCGGTAGGTCCACTGGCTGCCAGTTTGCTACCGGGCACAATTCAAAGTGCTGGCTTTAGCCTATAAAGCCCTAAACAGTTCTGGCCCAACTTACCTGTCCGAGCGATTCTCCTCCTATGAACCAAGTAGGACGTTAAGATCGTCTGAGGAGGCCCTGCTCTCAGTCCCGCCTGCATCACAAGTATGTCTGGTGGGAACGAGAGGCAGGGCTTTCTCAATGGTGGCCCCTCAGCTGTGGAACACCCTTCCTACAGATATTAAATCGGCCCCCTCCCTGTTAGCATTTCGGAAGAAAGTGAAGACCTGGTTGTTCGAGCAGGCATTTGAAAAAGCAGTGTAATGAATATAGGAATATGGAACAATTGGATGATGAAACAGGATCTTGATTCTAACTATGAGACGTTAATGAGATATTTTATTGATGTATAATGATTGTTTATTATGCTACTTTTTAAATTGTTTTTAACTGTTTTATGTTTTGAACATTGAATTTTGCTACTGTTAATTGCTTTGAGTCACCCGAGGGCTGAGAAAAGCGGTATACAAATATAGTAAATAAAAATAAATAAAGAGGCAGGATCGGAAGCGGAGACGTCCTCCCTCCTTTCCTCTGTGATTTCCACGCTCCTCATTCACATCTTGGCACTTTCTGCTGGGCTCTCTAACCCCGAGGCGTTGCCTTGCCTTAACTCTTTGAGTCCCTGTTGTTAGTATTCTAGGTGTCTAGTGCCGCGTCGGATGGATAACAGTAGGAGACTCCATATTATCCGACATTTTTGTTCATCCGATGTTCTGCCGGCCCATTTATGTCAGATAAGCGAGACTCTACTGTATATAACTATTATTATTATTGAAACACCAGGGATATATGGAAACAGTGTAAGAAAAAGATGAGGATGGGGAGCTGCCTTATTCTCTAGCTCCCATCAGCATGCTAAGGGACAATGGGAGTTGTAGTCCAAACGATACGGAAAGTCAAAGATCTGTGAGAGCTCTTTGCCAACCTTCTGTTCTCTTTCGATTAGGTTTGGTGCGGCAGCTTCCATGTCTACTCCGGGTTGCAAGTCCCCAGCGCCGTCAAATGCCTTCAGAAGCGCAACAGCGCCACCAGCAGTTCCAACGCCAGCTTATCGTAGAACTGGGCCGTTATGGCACAATCACGAGCCTCTCTCCTCAAGCGGAATGGCCAACCTTACCAACAAATTACAACACCAGTATTATTTTTTCTTAGCACAAGGATTATTTTCTCACCTCCTGGTTCTCATGTTGACCCAGAATGGGCTCACTATGAATGTATTTTATTTTCCTCTGTCCTCGATTGTAAAAGAGAGAGCGAGAGAAAGTCCTTTGCTGTTATCCATCACAAAGGTCTTTCTCACAATTCTCCCACTTTTGTTTGCCTTCAACTAACCTCGGCTGGAAAAAAAAAGACTGCAACCTGTGCCGAGCGTTCACTCCATGGTTCGTCTCGTTCTGTTGTCCACTTTGCTCTCGTTTTATATCTGTCGATTCAGATTGTACAGCTCACAGGATGCCAAACAGTGCAATGTTCTCATTTGCCATGGTTGAAGTTCTATTCTTTAGGGGAAATTCCTCCAAAGGGGTCGGGGAATATGTCCCAATGAGGACGGGCCATTGGAAATAATAGGACTAGTGGTCACAGAGGGTGGGAATGGGATGGATACGCTGAAAATTTTAAAATAGGGACATGCCGCACTGCACAGCTTTGTTGCTTGGTCTCACTGTCGGAGGGTATGTCTCATTTCACAAAGGAACCGCTGGCTTCTCCAGTGGATTCTGGGAGTTGCAGTCCAAAAAGAGTCACTTTTCCTTGGCATACTGTGGGCTGCTTGTATAGTTTGTTTGCAATGTCCTTGTTTATTTTGATGTCTCACCACACAACCAGCTTCTGGCCTTAACAATAAATGGTAGACTTCTGCATAACCCACCAAACTGTCTCTGCTTGTCTGGGAATGGGGGACTCCCCGCCACAAGGCAAAACAATGACTTTAAACAGATTTTAAGGAAAAATAAAAGGAAGCAAACATTATTATTATTATTATTATTATTATTATTATTATTATTATCCCTTTCTCTCTTGACCAGGACCCAAAGGGGATGCTCAACTACAGCCTTTGGAGCTTATTATTGCTCTGTTACTTTCAGGTTGGCTTGTGGAGACCCGTATGCAAATCTATCCAAGGGGAGTGTGCTTGCTCCATCAATGTTTAACATTTACACATATGACCAGCCATTGCCAGAAGGGACAGAGAGTGTAATCGATGCTGACAATCATGCCATAACCGCTCAAGCAGGGAGCTTTGAAATGGTTGGACAGAAGCTCTCCGAAGCTTTAGGTGCTCTTCCTGCCTATTACAGGGAAAACCAGCTGAATCCTAATCCATCTAAAATGCAAGCGTGTTCTTTTTCTCTTTAGAACAGACAAGCTCTGAGGATTACCTGGGGAGGGATCCCACTGGAGCATTGCAGCGTACCCAAATAACTGGGAGTCACTCTGGGCTGTGTTTTGACTTACAAGAAGCACTGCTTGAATATCAAACAAAAATGGGATGCTAGAAATAATATCATACAAAAGCTGACTGACACAACCTGGGGATCACAAACAGAGACAGTGAAGACATCTGCCCTTGCACTTTGCTACTCTACTGCTGAGTACGCATGCCCACTGTGGAATATATATCATCACGTTAAAATGATGCCTGTGGCTCTTAATGAGACATGTCGCATTATCACAGGATGTCTACACCCTACACCACTGGAGAAATTATACTGTTTCACTGGTATTGCACCACCTGATATCCACCAGAAAGTAGCAGCCAAGAATGAAAGGACCAAGGCAGTGACATCTCTGGCCCATCCTCTGTTCGGAAATCAGCCATCACGCTAATGCCTTAAATCAAGAAATAGCTTCCTAAGATCTACAGAGATACTTGAAGGAACACCTCAGCAAGTGAGAGTCCAAAAGTGGCAGGTTAAAACCCAGAACCTCAATCCATGGCTGATACCAAATGAGAAACTCCCTCCTGGGCACACAGAAGGCTGGGTGACTTGGAAGATAATGAACAGACTGCGCTCTGGCAAAATGAGGTGCAGAGCCAACCTTAAGAAATAGGGCTGCAAAGTGGAGTCCATGACATGCGAGAGTGGAGAAGAGCAAACCACAGACCACCTATTACAATGCAACTGAGCCCTGCCACATGCACAATGGAGGACCTTCTCACAGTGACACCAGAGGCACTCCAAGTGGCCAGCTTCTGYTCAAAGGTCATTTAGTATAATGCCAAGTTTTGAACTTGGTTTGTGGGGMTTTTTTATACATTATAACTATATTCTCAATTTGCTTCTGACARGATAAATAGATTGGCAAGATTTATACCAAAGGCATTTGTTTTTGCCTTCCTCTGAGGATGAGAGAGTGCAGTTACATGYGTTTTATACCATGTCTTTGAATATTTTGATGTGCGTCTTCCTTTCCTAGATTAGATTTTATCAGCGGAGAAAAGTTGGTTGAAGGATGGACAGACATCCTTTGAGATTCGGACACATTTTTGCCCTGGAAAACGTCTTCCTCTGTTTGGCTCTTCCATGGATATTTTAAGAGGACTATGGCTTCCTTCATTCTTGAAGAGTCGCTCTCCGTTCCTGAAGTTTTCGTTCCAGTTCTTCGGACATCCCTGCAAGTGGAGCAGAAGACYGGAATTGGAAAAGGATAGCGTTTTTGGGGGAGACAAATGAGGGTCCGGGGGAGGAGTGGTTGGATGGCCACCCCACCCCACAAAGTCCTCTAAGAAGAGCAGCTGTGTAACTTCAGATTTCAATTTGATGAAGGATTTGGCTCAAGAAACTCACTTGTCCCCAGTAGGCAAACAATTTAATAATCTTTGGTCTATTCTGGACCTTAGAGTAGTGTTTCTCAACCTTRCTAATGCCATGYCCCCTTAATACAGTTCCTCATGTCTTGGTGAACACCAACCATAACATTATTTCTGTTGCTACTTCATAACTCTAATTTTGCTACTGTTTTGAATGGTAATTTATTATCTGATATGCATCTGGTCACTTCTGAAATCTAGAAATAGTTTTCTAAGATCTACACAGACACTCGCTGGAACACCTGAGCAAGTCAGAATCCAAAAGTGGCGGGCTCAAAGCCAGAACCTCAACCAATGGCTGATACCAAATGAGAGACTCCCCCCTGGGCACACAGAGGACTGGGCGACTTGGAAGGCACTGAACAGACTGCGCTCTGGCACCACGAGATTCAGAGCCAACCTCAAAAAATGGGGCCACAAAGTGGAATCCACAACATGCGAGTGTGGAGAAGAGCAAACCACTGACCACCTGCTGCAATGCACCCTGAGCCCTGCCACATGCACCATGGAGGACCTTCTTGCAGCAACACCAGAAGCACTCCAAGTGGCCAGCTACTGGTCAAAGGACATTTAATCAACTACCAAACTCGCAAATTTTGTATTTTGTCTGTTTGTTTGTTTTGTTCTGTTAGAAATGTCATACAATTGACTGGTTGCCCTGACACGACAAATAAATATCTGATATGCACAATGTATTCTTATTCACCTGACCAAATTTGGCACAAACACCTGACACACCCAAATTTGGATACTGGTGGGGTGGTGGAGGTTGTTTTTGTCATTCGGGAGTTGTAGTTGCTGGAATTTATAATTCACCCACAATCAAAGAGAATTCTGAACTCCACCAATGCTGGAACTGAACCAATCTTGGCACACAGAACTCCCATGACCAATAGAAAATACTGGAAGGGTTTGGTGGGCACTGACCTTGACTTTTGGAGTTGTAGTTCACCTACATCTAGAGAGCACTGTGGACTCAAACAATGATAGATCTCGACCAAACTTGCCACAAATACTCAATATGCCCAAATGTGAACACTTGTGGAGTTTGGGGGAAATAGACCTTGACATTTGGGAGTAGTAGTTGCTGGGATTTATCGTTCACCTACAATCAAAGAGCACTCTGAACCCCACCAATGATAGAATTGGGTCAAACTTCCGACACAGAACCTCCATGTCTTGAAGGGACTCACTGGCACGAGCCTCCCTCTAGCCTTACACGCTCTCCTTCACCTGTACGCCTGCTCTCTCCTTCCCTCTTGGAGTTTCAAATACAGCCCTCTCCTTGGCTGAGAGGCCAGCCAATCACAGCAGTGGAGGGCTTTTGGTGGGAGGATTCACCATCTTTTTCCAAAAAGGAAGAGAAGGACAGGCGGAGAGATCTTTTTCTCTACCAAAGGAATTCCTAAGACCATCAGAAATATATGTTTTCTGATGGTTTTTGGCAACCCCTCTGAAACCCCCTCACGACCCCCCAGGTTGAGAAATGCTGCTTTAGGTTCTACATAAGGTCCAGGTAATGGTAAGAAGTAGTAGTGTAGTGTAGCATAATTAAGTTTGGAAAAAACATCAACATCTGGCCACCCTGCCACACCAGCAGCCAATGAGTCCCCCAAAGAAGGAATGGAGAGGGGTGGGGAAGGATGAGGCCACCAGGACGGCCAGGGCAGAATGGGCCCAAGCCACCCCACCACACAAAGAGACAGCCAATCAGTCCCCAAAGAAGAGCAGCTATGTGTGTAACTTCAGATTTCAATTTGTGAAGGATTTGCCTCAACTCACTTGTTCCCAGAAATAACAATTCTGTCCTGTAATGAATGGCTAGCAGTGGAAAATGTGAGAAAATCATCCAAGTATTGATCTGTTCGATTCTCACTTGTGGTAGATATGAATTTCTCTCCAATGACTTACCAATGGAAAAGTTTCTGGGTAGAGACATTCCCAAACGGGAAGAAGTCCTCTCCATGGTCTTTGGGGCTGGAAATAATATAATAATAGACTTTATTTATACTCCACCCTATCTCAACGAGGGGACTCAGGGCGGATTACAGAACACAGATACAGCAAACATTCAGTGCCATTACACAATTAACAAACACAGACAGTACACAAACAGAGGTAAAGGCTTTCCCATCTTTTTCCATCTCTGGCATCTGGAGGCTGTGCTCGACTCAGGCCACGGGGAGGTGCTGTTGCTCCGCCTTCCATGCCGAGGAGCTTTGTTGTCCATACACGCTCTCCTGATCGAATCGCTGGCATGTCCGCATGAGAGCCTTTTATTACCTCCCCGCCAAAGTGGTACCTATTTATCTATTCACATTGCTGTTTTCAAACTGCTAGGTGAGCAGAAGCTGGGCTGAAGGAGGAAGCTCACCCCAACCCGGGCTTGAACTGTCGACTTTTCGATCGGCAAGATTTTCTGCAGCTGGCTTTTTACCCTGCTGTGCTAAGCCTGCCCCAAATATAAAGCTGCTTTTAGACCCTAAAGCTGAAAGGGATGCAATAATGTTTGCCTTGCTCCTAATCGACTTCCTTTCCAATCTCTTCTGAAACCTTACAAAATGACTAGACCAAATTTTCAATGTCAAAAATGTATTAGATGATATTCAAAGGACAAACCGATCGAGGGCAAGATTGGGGTTGGCTTTTGGCTTCCCTCTGAAGCCAAGAGAGTGCGACTCGAGTGTCCATGGCCAAACGGGAAATCGAACCTACCTCTCTCGCATGGTTTCTGGGCTGGGATCGGGGCCACACGATCCGGAAGGGCTTTCCACATGGCTCCTGACTGGACCATGGCTGTTCCAAATTGAATGATAAAGACAACACACATCAGTTTTTACTCTGGGCAGGTCCTGTTCTAATAAACATACAACTGACTAATGTTACGTTTTAGACTATACTGCTCAGAATCCCCCTACCAAGCCAGCACCATTTTGAAACAGAAGCTGGCTGGCCATCTGTTAGGAGGGCCTGGATTGTATCCCCCTTAGGTTGGACAGAATGAGCCTTGGTTGGTCCCTTCCAACAGTATGATGCTATGGATGGAATTGCAACATTCTTTAACAAGGGCTGGATGGCCATCTGTCCAGAGGGATTGGCTTGTGGCCACTGGTAGTCTGCAGACCACTAGTTGGGAATCACTGAACTATATGAATCTACGATGCTAGGGGCGTACTTCCAATATTCTTTATCAGAGACTGGATGGTCATCTGTTGGGAGTGTTGGATTGTGTATTCCTGCACGACGGAATGGCAACCAGTATTTAAAAAACCTCTAAAATTACAACAGCACAACAACAGAGAGGAAGCAAACAAGGACATCTAATCAGCTCTCAACAAAAGATTGCTCCAGGCACTGTCAGGCCATTATATGCTAATCAAGGTGGTCAGTTGAAACATTCACACCCAGCTGCAGCAGACAAGAGTCCTTTGTCCCACCCTGGTCATTCCACAGATATATAAACCCTTTTTCCTACTTCCAACAGACCTCACTACCTCTGAGGATGCTTGCCATAGATGCAGGCGAAACGTCAGGAGAGAATGCCTCTAGATCATGGCCATATAGCCTGAAAAAGCCTACAACAACCCAGTGATTCCGGCCATGAAAGCCTTCGACAATACATAGAATGGCAATACACTGAATGGTCTTGGGATGTCTCTTCCAACTCTGTTCTTCTCATTACCTGACCACAGTTGAGTCCTGCTATAAAAAGTCCTTGACTAATGACTGCATGGCCTCTATTGGGAGGGATTGGAATGTGTTATGGCAGAATGGGTCCGGACTGGACATCTCTCTCAACTCTATAATTCTAAGCAAGTAAGGAGCAGAAATGGAATTCCAGCCACTATTTTCAATACATTCACTCCGATTCTTACGTTTGTCATTCATGTAGGTCTGATCTGGAGGATCTTCTTCCATATATACATTCTCAGGCTGGGAGGCAGCCCTGGGAAGAGGGGGCTTAACAGGAGGAATGGGAGGCAGAAAGGCTCGGGTTCGAGGAGCTAAGGGAGGTTTTTGTCCTCCAGGGGAACCTAAAAGAATAGCATCAAGAGAGGAAAATCAGTCAAAGCTTAAGCATCGGACAATGAGTGCATTCTACACTATAGGATGAATGCAGATTCAACAATTTATTGTTGAGAGGGATCATTATCCAATCACAACAACAGCACAACCTATCAGGGATCCATGCCACCACCTCGATTACCTCATGGAGTCAGTTTGGCTCCATTGAAAACATGCTCCTATATCATGATATCTCCTCTGCAGAGCCATATTTTGTTCCGTGACATATCAAGGATAGTAACATGTATCCCTGATAGGTCTTGCCATTGTTGAGATTGGATAATGATCCCTGCTAGGTCTTGTCATTGTTGTGATTGGATAATGGTCCCTGATAGGACTTGCCATTGTTCTGATTGAATAATGGTCCCTGATAGATCATGTCATTGTTGTGATTGGATAATGATCCTCGATAGGTCTTGCCATTGTTGTGACTGGATAATGATCCCTGATAGGTCATGCCATTCTTGTGATTGGATAATGATCCCTGATAGGTCTTGCCATTGTTCTGATTGGATAATGATCCCTGATAGGTCTTGTCATTGTTGTGATTGGATAATGATCCCCAATAGGTCTTGCCATTGTTGTGATTGGATAATGATCCCTGATAGGTCTTGCCATTGTTGTGATTGGATAATGATCCCCAATAGGTCTTGCCATTGTTGTGATTGGATAAGGATCCCTGATAGGTCATGTCATTGTTGCGATTGGATAATGATCCCTGATAGGTCATGCCATTCTTGTGATTTGATAATGATCCCTGATAGGTCATGCCATTGTTGAGATTGGATAATGATCTCTGATAGGTCATGCCATTCTTGTGATTGGGTAATGATCCCTGATAGGTCTTGCCATTGTTGAGATTGGATAATGATCCCGGATAGGTCATGTCATTGTTGAGATTGGATAATGATCCCTGCTAGGTCTTGCCATTGTTGTGATTGGATAACGATCCCGGATAGGTCATGTCATTGTTGTGATTGGATAATGATCCTCGATAGGTCTTGCCATTGTTGAGATTGGATAATGATCCCTGATAGGTCTTGTCATTGCTGTGATTGGATAATGATCCCCAATAGGTCTTGCCATTGTTGTGATTGGATAATGATCCCTGATAGATGACTCCATTGTTGTGATTGGATAATGATCCCTGATAAGTCATTCCATTGTTGAGATTGGATAATGATCCCTGTGTTAAACTGCATTCATTCATTCATGGCAGCATGAGGTTGGACTACATGGCCTTTGGGATCCCTATTCTGCAAAATGAGTGAAAAGTCACACCTTTGGGGTAGTGCGGTGGCACAGGGGGCACCCGGGCAGGAATCGAGGTACTCTCTCCACTTTCTTTATCCATCTCCATGATTTCTGGGGGGAAAAACACAAAGCACACAGGAGCTGAAATCACTATGTAGGATCACTAACAGGAGCACAGACATCCAATGCCAGAGGACAGAGCTGGCCAACAATCAACAACCAATGAGAACCCATTTTATCGATGAAGAATACTGAGTCTGGGAGAGAGGGGACATCTGTGACAGATATACGAACATATGGGAGTTTTCACCTGACCCAATGTGCTTTGAGTCAATGGCAGCCTACAGTAAGAATCAGGCAAAAAATACATTGGTATAAGGTTTTCAAGGCAACACTCTCACCCAGAGATTCCTCCCCATCAGAAACGTACCCAAAGTCATTGCATAGCTCTCATCCAGGGACAAAGGCACAAGGACCCGTCGACTATTGTTGACAAAGAAATCCACCACCTCCTGGAGCGAGGAGCAGCGATGCTTGTGAAAGAGAAGGATAAAGATGTCAGCTAGAAGAATTTATCGTGTGATATTAAGGTTTGAATGTTCAGTGGAATAGGATTTGAATCCTTGCTAAGCCATGGGAACCCACTGGGTGACCAAAAACTATAGATTTCCCAAAGACCATCCAGTCCAATCCCCTTCTGCCATGCTGGAAGATACTCTCTAAACTATATCTGAGATAATCAGCCAACATACAGCTCCTATTATTATTATCCTTACTACTGAAAGGGTCTTTGAGTGAAATTAGCAAAGCTATGCAAGGGGCTTTGAATGAAATTAGCAAAAAAAAGGAGCAACACGGAAGAAAATGTTTTAAAAAACAAGAGGTGACATGTAGAGGTCATACAAAGTTCGGTTGTGGTTAAGCGCAAATATTGTGGTTAAGCGCAAAGTCTGCAGGTGCAAGAAGGTACTTTCCATCAAGAGGTTGATGGGACAGGAAGAATAAAAGTCAAAGTACTTTCCATGACAAAAAATATTATTGTTTACTTGAGAATATATAAAGGTTTACAAAATCCGAGGAGGGGGCGGCAGTCTGTGAAAAGCACATCCAAAGATGCTGTCTGTTCGCCTCATGCTGATCAGCTTGAATAAATGGTGTCTTACATGAACCTATTGGACTCTGTGGATTTCTTCGAAAGGGGACCTCCCGCACCCTAAACCCGTGATCCCTTACACTACTACTACTACTACTACTACTACTACTACTACTACTATCTCCAGCCAGCATGCTGTTCCCTCTACAATTGAACTAACCGAATGTTACCTCCAAATCCCCATTAGTGTACCAATAGTCATCTTACCGGTTCTTCGACATCAATGACATACTCTCCACCATCCACATTGATCTTGTAGTGCTTAATAGTCACAGTTCTGCAAAGAGATTAAATCATGGTTTTGGCAGATAACTTTGGAGAACATTGCTTCTTTTTGTTACCATCAGGTCCCAGTCGTTGGCCATTCTTGTCAAAGTCAGCTGGAGAAAACATAGATGAATGTAGTTTGACCTTCTTTTAACTGCCAGAGCTCAATGCAACGGAATCATAGAAGTCGTTGTTTGATTAAAGCACTGCATCTACAGCTCCCAGGATTCCATTGCATTGGGTCATGGTGATTAAAGTGTCAAACTGCATTCATTTGACAGATGTGAAGTCGAGCATGTCCCATCCCCCCCAATAAAGGATGGCAACTTATAGTCCTGTAAAGGGCAAGGGTACCAGACTGCACAATAGGGGTTAAGTCTTGGTCAGTTTGCCAAGACACTAACAACAACAAGGACCCCATGAGGCTTTCGGGGAGCAGATTGGCCCCTGGGCTCCAGCCCTTGGAAAGAGTTACAGTTTTCCAAGGGTCAAGGACAAGTCTCAACCTCAACGCTGCAGGACTCCCTTGGCTGGCTCAGTGGAATCTTTTGGATCTTTCCTCATGAATTTCGTGCTTTTAATCATTCCCCATGGACCCTTTTGTTTCCCTTTCAAAAACATACTTTTATATGCACCTTTCCTGTAATGAATTATAAGCATATGGTTCCTGCAACATCAACCCTATATATATTTTCCTTTGTGCTAGTGACCTTCCCTTGACCTTTTTCATTCCCTTCCAAGGACACACACATTTATGAACTCTTCCCATTATGGACTATGGACTTATTATATATATTTTCATGATTTTTCTTGTGGCTGAGGCTTTCCCCTTGACCTTTTTCCCTTCCCTTTCCTTATGATGAAATCCTACCAGGAAATTGCAGAGCCCAAAACATTCACAAAGAACCTAATCCATAAATCTCTTGCATGGACAAGAACAAAGGTGGCACCCTTGCTCTCGGAGTTTCGCCCAGCAGGTGGGGTCGCCCCTTGGCAGAACTTTAATCATTCTTCTATTTGGAGATCAGGGCGCCTTCAAAAAGCCCCCACTTCCATTTTGATTGATTCAATTATTTACCCACTAAGGAACACTCATCCCAGTTTCGCCCCATTGTTCTCATACTCCACTGTTCGGAAAGATCCGGATTTTCCTTTGTTTATGTTGATCCACTCCAATCAAGAAACAATAGGTTGGTCTTGCTTGAGACTATGAGTCTCGCGAGACCCCCTGGCAGTTCCTTTTTTCAACTCATTCATAGATTCTATTGCGTTTCATCATCCTGCCTTCCTCTCTCTGATTGGCTCACTGAAGCTTCCTGATTGGCCCTGAGGCGCGGGAGGGCTGCCTCCCAGCTGTTGGCTCATTGGCCAATCACAGCAAAGACCGGCAGGGAGGCAGGGGCATTTTGAACCTTGCAACTCTGTATTTCCTATAAAAATGGCTGTATTGATGTAATTTCTCATGCTCTGCTGGCGAATGATTGCGGCTCTGCATCCTTTTCAGCTGAATCGCTAAATAAACCTCAATGGCTTTTCTTCAACCTTGGTGAGATTTATTTGGGAAAAATCAGGGAAAATTCTGGGCCTTTCTCCTCTTTTGCTTGCCAAGGGTTTCGGACTCTCTTTGGTGGGTCTAAGGGCTCCTCTCTCCTGGGCAGGAGCCTCCAAATTCTAGCTCGATAACAGATGCACCCCATGAGGCTGCCTAACTCACCCATTCAGTTTCTGCCGGGTGGACAGAGAGATGCTTTGGCAATCCCGTCCTGGACGCAGCAGCATATTGCCACAGTTTTCGTTCTTCTCCAAAAGCACCTCTGCCTCCGTTCTGGACACCATGAAGAAACAGCTGAGGGAAGAAAAAACCCAATGTATAGCCTTGTAACTCTGTAAATATGACTTCTACAACACAGCAAAGTCGTAGTGGTGTGCTGGAATACAAAGCTTTGGTCTCCAATCCCCTAAGCCACTCCTCATTCAAGACCTTTGGCCAAGACCAAGTTACCCTTCTCTGGGCGTATTCCATCTTACCAATATCCTTCTTGAATTATGGTGCCCAAAATTGCACACAGTATTATATTAGGTGAGATTACTCAAAGCAGAACAGAGTGGGACTTCCCTTGTGCTGCTGAACTGCTGACATGAAGGTTGGCAGTTCAAATCTGCAGCATGGGGTGATTTTCCAATCTTAGCTCTAGCTCCTGCCAACCTAGCAGTTCAAAAACATGCAAATGTGAGTAGATCAATAGGTACCACCTCGGCAAGAAAGGCAAAAAGACATCCCATGCAGTCATGTCGGCTATACGACCAGGAGGTATCTATGGACAATGCAGGCTCCTCGGCTTAGACATGGAGATGAGCACCTCCCCAAGAGCCAGAAATAAGCACCACCTCCAGAGTTGGAAATGAAAGGAGAAGCCTTTGCCTTTGTCTGTGTATTTGTGTTGCATTGTATTTTACTGTAACAAGGCATTGAATGTTTGCCTGTGGCTGTTTATATGCTGTAATTTGCTCAGGGAGAAGGGCGGAATATAAATATAGTGTTATTACTAGCCGTCCCCTGCCACACGTTGCTGTGGCCCACATGGGGGTTCTGTGTGGGAGGTTTGGCCCAATTCTATCATTGGTGGGCTTCAGAATGCTCTGTGATTGTAGGTGAACTATAAATCCCAGCAACTACAACTCCCAAATGTCAAGATTCTATTTTCCCCAAACTCCACCAGTGTTCACATTTGGGCATATTGATATACGTGTAAAGTTTAGTCCAGATCCATCATTATTTGAGTCCACAGTGCTCTTGGGGTGTAGGTGAACTACAACTCGCAAACTCAAAGTCAATGCCCACCAAACCCTTCCAGTATTTTCTGTTGGTCGTGGGAGAACTGTGTGCCAAGTTTGGTTCAATTCCATCGTTGGGGGGGTTCAGAATGCTCTTTGATTGTAGGTGAACTATAAATCCCAGCAACTACAACTTCCAAATGTTCAAGATTCTATTTTCTCCAAGCTCCACCAGTGTTCACTTTTGGGCATATTGAGTATTTGTGGAGTTTGGTCCAGATCCATCATTGTTTGAGTCCACAGTGCTCTCTGGATGTAGGTGAACTACAACTCCAAAACTCAAGGTTAATGCCCACCAAAACCTTCCAGTATTTTCTGTTGGTCATGGGAGTTCTGTGTGCCAAGTTTGGTTCAATTCCATTGTTTGTGGAGTTCAGAATGCTCTTGATTGTAGGTGAACTATAAATCCCAGCAACTACAACTCCCAAATGTCAAGATTCTATTTTCCCCAAACTCCACCAGTGTTCACATTTGGGCATATTGAGTATTCGTGTCAAGTTTGGTCCAGATCCATCATTGTTTGAGTCCACAGTGCTCTCTGGATGTAGGTGAACTACAACTCCAAACTCAAGGTCAATGCCCACCAAACCCTTCCAGTATTTTCTGTTGGTCATGGGAGTTCTGTGTGCCAAGTTTGGTTCAATTCCATCGTTGGTGGAGTTCAGAATGCTCTTTGATTGTAGGTGAACTATAAATCCCAGCAACTACAACTCCCAAATGTCAAGATTCTATTTTCCCCAAACTCCACCAGTGTTCACATTTGGGCATATTGAGTATACGTGTAAAGTTTGGTCCAGATCATCATTGTTTGAGTCCACAGTGCTCTCTGGATGTAGGTGAACTACAACTCCAAAACCAAAGGACGCTGCCCACCAAACCCTTCCAGTATTTTCTATGGTCATGGGAGAACTGTGTGCCAAGTTTGGTTCAATTCCATCGTTGGTGGGGTTCAGAATGCTATTTGATTGTAGGTGAACTATAAATCCCAGCAACTACAACTCCCAAATGACAAAATCAATTTTTTGAGTGAAGAACATACATTGGGTTGCTAGGTGTCTTGTGTCCAAATTTGGTGTCAATTAGTCCAGTGGTTTTTGAGTTCTGTTAATCCCACAAACGAACATTACATTTTTATTTATATAGATTACTATTATCTAGATTTTCATTGGCCTTTTTCACTGTTGCATTCACACTGTTGACTCATGTTCATCTTGTAGTCTCCTAAAACTCCTCAATCCCTCTGATGTGTTGTCAAGCCAGGTCTCACCAATCCTGTTTCTCTGCATTACATTTTCTGCCATCAAGGATCTTAGAGTCCACTCACTCTGGAAGTTCCTTCTCTTTTCTTGGATCTGGTTGCTCCAGCTTCTGCCTCCGTTCCTTTTCTTTCTGAAGGGCTTCGGTCAACATATAAATATGTCCAGGAAGCAAAGTCAAACTTGGAGGGACTTTCATCTAGCAGAGGAGAAAGAAAAGCGGTTAGAGAACTTGTATCAGGCAGCGTTCCAGATTTTATCAGTTTAATGTGTATGAATTTCCCTACACAAAGCAAGGTTTGATTCAGAGAAAGCCGGCATAAAAATAGGGGATGAAACATCAAATAATAATAATAATAATAATAATAATAATAATAATAATTGTGAGGTTTTCTGGCATTGTATATTTCTGCTGCTTCTGTGGCTGTTCATTGGTATTTTGATTCTGTAACCTATTTGTCAATGGATGTCCAGAATCAGCAGGATCCACCGCAGTCCTTTTTATCCTGGGCGACAACTGAGCCAGTATAGACTTCGTTTTGGTTTGTTTCTCCATAGTGCTAATGGAATCATAGAATCATAGAATCAAAGAGTTGGAAGAGACCTCGTGGGCCATCCAGTCCAACCCCTCTGCCAAGAAGCAGGAATATTGCATTCAAATCACCCTTGACAGATGGCCATCCAGCCTCTGTTTAAAGCTTCCAAAGAAGGAGCCTCCACCACACTCCGGGGCAGAGAGTTCCACTGCTGAATGGCTCTCACAGTCAGGAAGTTCTTCCTCATGTTCAGATGGAATCTCCTTCTTGTAGTTTGAAGCCATTGTTCCACGTCCTAGTCTCCAGGGGAGCAGAAAACAAGCTTGCTCCCTCCTCCCTGTGGCTTCCTCTCACATATTTATACATGGCTATCATATCTCCTCTCAGCCTTCTCTTCTTCAGGCTAAACATGCCCAGCTCCTTAAGCCGCTCCTCATAGGGCTTGTTCTCCAGACCCTTGATCATTTTAGTCGCCCTCCTCTGGACACATTCCAGCTTTGTCAATATCTCTTTTGAATTGTGGTCAGAATTGCACACAATATTCCAGGTGTGGTCTAACCAAGGCAGAATAGAGGGGTAGCATGACTTCCCTAGATCTAGACACTATGCTCCTATTGATGCAGTCCAAAATCCATTGGCTTTTTTTGCCGCCACATCACATTGTTGGCTCATGTTTAACTTGTTGTCCACGAGGACTCAAGATCTTTTTCACACGTACTGCTCTCGAGCCAGGCTGTCCCCCATTCTGTATCTTTACATTTCGTAATGGGTTAGGTGCTCTTAGTTCCCCTCCTCAGCTGAGACCTCTCTGACTTGGTTGGACTGCTGATAGTTACACTACCGCCAGCACAGCTCTCAGTATTCTTGGAGCAGGTAAGGCCCCCACCACGACAGAGGCACAACTATGTGGCCCAAATGATTCATTGGAACTTATGTCACAAGTACCACCTGCCAGTAGTAAATAACTGGTGGAATCATAAACCTGCAAAGGTCGTGGAAAATGAACACGCAAAAATACTGTGGGACTTTTGAATCCAGACTGACAAGGTTTTGGAACACAATACACCAGACATCATGATTGTGGAAAAGAAAAAAGTCTGGATTATTGATGTCGCCATACCGGGTGACAGTCGCATTGAGGAAAAACAACAGGAAAAACTCAGCCATTATCAAGACCTCAAAATCGAACTGCAAAGGCTCTGGCATAAACCAGTACAGGTGGTCCCAGTGGTCATTGGCACACTGGGTGCCCTGCCAAAATATTTCAGCCGGCATTTGGAAACAATAAACATCGACAAATCACGATCTGTCAACTGCAAAAGGCCACCTTACTTGGATCTGCGCACATCATTCGAAAACACATCACACAGTCCTAGACGCTTGGGAAGTGTTTTACTTGTGATTTTGTAATGCAAAATCCAGCATATATCTCATTTGCTGTGTCATGCTGTGTTTTTGTGTCATAATAATAATAATAATAATAATAATAATAATAATACTTTATTAATATACCAGCCCATCTCCCCAAAGGGATTTAGAGTAGTGAACAACAAAATCAGCAAAGCTTCAATGCCGTACAAAAAACATAAGTAAATACCCGTACCACCCAAACTCCAAAACAAATAAACATTTATACCAAAAGTTGTTGCCAGATCAGCTATGGAGGAAACTGCTATGTAAGGGGGGACCATAAGGCTGTTGAAACATAAGGAAGGATATTTTTTATGAAAGGAACTCACTTCTACCACAGTGAGGATAAATCCCTTCCACATCTCCCGAGACTCCAAGCTTTCCATCTGAAAAAGAAAGCAGATGAACTAGATGAATGCATGTTGCAGGACACATGAAAGTCTTCCTTAAGAAACCAGTTCCTCTGTTTTCGGTTCTCCGGAGAAGAAGGAATTATTTACTCTTCACTTTCTTTACTCCAAGCCGAACATTTATTTATTTTTATTTATTTATTTGGAGTGCTTCTACCCCACCTTTCTCAACCCCCTAGGGGGGACTCAGGGCGGCTTACAAAAGGCACAATTCGATGCCCAACAGTTCACAAAATACAATATACAAAATACAATATAACAACAATAGTTATAACTAGTTAAAAGAGTCAAATTAATACAATAGCAGCAATAAAATCATCTTGTGGTCAACGTTCGTCAATTCATAAATCCATAATCCATCCAGCATTGCCATTGTCCTTTCCTACTCTGGTCGTCATTGTCTTTTATCCATCTGCCAGCTTACCCAAAGGCCTGGTCCCATATCCAGGTTTTTAACTTCCTTCTGAAAGAGAGGAGGGATGTTGATGACCTAATTTCCCCGGAGTGAATTCCACAGGCGAGGGGCCACCACCGAGAAGGCCCTGTCCCTCGTCCCCACCAGTCTCACTTGTGATAAAGGTGGGTCCGAGAGCAGGGCCTCCCCAGAAGATCTTAAACTCCGAGGTGGGATGTAGAAGGAGATACATTCGGACAGGTACGCTGGGCCGGAGCCGTATAGAGTTTTATAGGTCAAAACCAGCACTTTGAATTGTGCTTGGAACTGGAATTGGCAACCAGTGGAGCTGACATAACAGGGGGATGGTATGTTCCCTGTATGACGCTCCAGTGAGTAATCTAGCCACCGCCCGTTGGACTAATCGAAGTTTCCGAACAGTCTTCAAAGGCAACCCCACGTAGAGCGCGTTGCAGTAATCTATTTGGGATGTAACAAGAGCGTGGACCACCGTGGCCAGATCAGACTTCCCAAGGTACGGGGACTTCCCAAAACACCTCAGAAGGCAGTATCAGGATCCAAAATTGCTTTTACAGATTAGAGATCTGGATCAAAACTAATGAATTTCAACACAAAGAAACATATTTTCATCATCATGGTCTCTGTACAATCCCACATATGGTAAAAAACTAAAATGTATAAATCGAATACAGATGACACTTGCTTTGAAAACAGTCCACCTGAAAGGGATCTAGGTGTCTTAGTGGACCACAAGATGAACATAAGCCAACAGTGTGATGCGGCAGCGAAAAAAGCCAATGCAATTTTAGGCTACATCAGTAGCAGTGTAGTATCTGGACTGAGGGAAGTCATTGTCCCACTGTCTTTTGAAATAATATTAGGTCCAGTTTTAGGCACCACAGTTCAAGGAGGAAACTGTAAAATGTTCAGAGAAAGGTAACCGAAATGGCCAAAGGTCCAGAAACTATTAATCCCTTGTGGAGCTGCTTACCTAGCACTTCAAAAACAATAATGTGAGTGGATCAATAGGTACTGCTTTGGAGGGGAGATAAAAGGCGTCATGATGGCAATTTGATCCGGAAGCTGTCCTTGGACAAACAGGCTCCTTGGCATGGAAAATGGAACAAGAGCATCATCATTATTATTATTTTATCAGCCCAAGGGCTGAGAAAAGTGGTATATAAATGAAGTAAATAATATAATAATATTATATTATTATATTATATTATTATTATATGTTATATATTATATTATAATATTATATTATATTATTATTAGTTACTTTTTTCCAGGATGTATGGGAGCTATTGTGAAGCATTCTTTATCGATATTTTAGTCCCATGCTATGCTATCTGCGGCCTATTCAACCCATGTTGCGTATCCCTATTGTACTTCTCTTGAATAGCCTCCATCTCATTCGGCAAAAGATCGACAGATAACTGCATTTTACGCAGGTTTTGTTTGCAAAACAGTGCTAGGCAAACACCAGGCCCAGCCAAAACAGAATTGAACAAAAATCAGGAAGAATTGGTTTGAGTTAATTTGACCTTTCCCGACTATTTGCTTTCTAAATGGCTGAACATGCTGTGAGAAATCCAGGCATCTCTTTCGGTTTGGAACTAGTGGTAGGAAATCCTTCCATGCTGTGGCAGCTTCACTGGCTGTCGATTTGCTTCTGGGCTAAATGCAAATTGCTGGTCATTACCTATAGAGCCCGAAACAGTTCAGACCCAGACTATTTGCAGAACTGCATTTCTGTTTATAAACCAGCTCGAGCACTCCAATCTGCAGAGGAGACCCTTCTCTCAGTCCCAACCCCATCGCAACACGGTTGGTGGGAATGAAAGAGGCAGCCTTCTACGTAATCACTCCCTGCCTCTGGAACTCCCTCCCAAAAGAACTAAAAACTGCCCTCCCCCCTCCTCACCTTTAAAAAGCTGCTATAAACACTTCTATGCACTCTGGCGTAGGGAGAGGAGGAAGATTAAAATGCTTTGACATATAACATTGTTTATCTATACTAAGGTGCAGCAGGTTAAACTGCTGAGCTGCTGAACTTGCTGAACGAAAGGTTGGCAGTTTGTATCTGGAGAGCGAGGTGAGCTCCCATTGTTAGCTCTAGCTTGATGTGGCAGCAAAAAAAGCCAATAGGATTTTGGCCTGCATCAATAGGAGCATAGTGCCTAGATCTAGGGAAGTAATGCTACCCCTCTATTCTGCTTTGGTTAGACCACGCCTGGAATATTGTGTCCAATTCTGGGCACCACAATTGAAGAGAGATATTAACAAGCTGGAATGTGTCCAGAGGAGGGCGACTAAAATGATCAAGGGTCTGGAGAACAAGTCCTATGAGGAGCGGCTTAAGGAGCTGGGCATGTTTAGCCTGAAGAAGAGAAGGCTGAGAAGAGATATGATAGCCTTCCTTCCTTCCTTCCTTCCTTCCTTCCTTCCTTCCTTCCTTCCTTCCTTCCTTCCTTCCTTCCTTCCTTTCTTCCTTTCCTACCTTCCTTTGTCCTGTCTTTCCCTTCCTTTCTCTTCCATTCTGTCTTTTTCTTAAGGAGCTGGGCATGTTTAGCCTGAAGAAGAGAAGGCTGAGAAGAGATATGATAGCCTTCCTTCCTTCCTTCCTTCCTTCCTTCCTTCCTTCCTTCCTTCCTTCCTTTCTTCCTTTCCTACCTTCCTTTGTCCTGTCTTTCCCTTCCTTTCTCTTCCATTCTGTCTTTTTCTTAAGGAGCTGGGCATGTTTAGCCTGAAGAAGAGAAGGCTGAGAGGATATGATAGCCATGTATAAATATGTGAGAGGAAGCCACAGGGAGGAGGGAGCAAGCTTGTTTTCTGCTTCCCTGGAGACTAGGACGCGGAACAATGGCTTCAAACTACAAGAAAGGAGATTCCATCTGAACATGAGGAAGAACTTCCTGACTGTGATAGCCGTTCAGCAGTGGAACTCTCTGCCCCGGAGTGTGGTGGAGGCTCCTTCTTTGGAAGCTTTTAAACAGAGGCTAGATTGCCATCTGTCAGGGGTGATTTGAATGCAATATTCCTGCTTCTTGGCAGGGGGTTGGACTGGATGGCCCATGAGGTCTCTTCCAACTCTTTGATTCTATGATTCTATGATTCTGGCAACCTACAAGCAGTTCAAAAACATGCAAACATGAGTAGATCAATAGGTACCACTCCGACGGGAGGTAATGGTGCTCCATGCAGTCATGCTGGCCACATGACCCTGGAGATGTCTACAGACAACACTGGCTCTTAGCTTAGAAATGGAGATGAGCATCAACCCCCAAAGTCAGACATGACTAGACTTAATATCAAGGGGAAACCTTTACCTTTACTTTATATATACTAAACCCTGTTTAGATACTGGAATTGATCTCAGCCTGATAGTTGCTGGCAACCATTTTATCTCGTAATAAGGTTTTAGTTGTTTTAAATTATTATTCTGTTTAAATTCATTTTACTTGATTATGTCTGTCAGGATTGTCTGATTTTTTTTTTTGGTTATTTTTTATTTGGTATTGAGTTTATAGTAATGACTGTTCTATTTTCTGTGACGTGTCATGTTTTGATGTAATCTGTTACATGTCTCTTTGTTAGCACTGAATGTTTGCCATATGTGTTGGAAACCGTCTTGAGCCCCTCTGGGGAGATAGGGCGGTCTATAAATAAAGTGTTGTTGTTGTTGTTGATGCATTGGGGAGAGTTAGTTTTATGGACTGCAACATCCAGAATTACTCCACACTGGGAGCCGAGGGTCCAAAAATATGGCTTTATTGAGCTCCTTTTCTTACATGGGACAAAATCCACCTGTAAAACTCATTGCCATGTGAAAGTGGTATCGAAATGAATTAATTCTACAGAGAGAAGGTTACCTTCAGGTTGACATCTTGGCTTCTCAACCTCAGATTCAGCTTGGCTTCGGTCCTGGACCAGCTGGCCACCGACCTCGGAGGGTTGTCATCAGTGAAGGAGACGAAGTCGGCCAGCTCGATTTTCTCAACGTACTGAGGAGGGAAAGAAGTGAGACCTGTTCACAAGCTTCTAGTCCTCAAGGGTGTATTGTGTGAGTGCATCTTATGCCTCCAAGTCACCTTAGGGCAACCTCATGCATTTTAGTATCATGAAAAATGCAAGTATGAAAAAAATACATACATTATTATAAATCTATCATCCATCTCTCGTGGTTATCTCTAGCATCTCTATCTAGTTATCTAACAACTCTCTTTCTCATATCTATCATATCTATTAGGCTTGTGCATAATTTTGTTTTTAAATCATATTTCATTAAAAATCATAAAATTTGTGCATACAAAGTTATATTTGAGCTTTTGCACAACTAAAACTTGTGCACCAGTTGCGCCCGTACCTTGGGAAGTCAGATCTGGCCACAGTGGTCCACGCTCTTGTTACATCCTGACTAGATTACTGCAACGCACTCTACGTGGGGTTGCTTTTGAAGACTGTTCAGAAATTTCAATTAGTCCAGCGGGCGGCAGCCAGATTAGTCACCAGAGCGTCACACAGGGAGCATACCACCCCTCTGTTGTGTCAGCTCCACTGGGCACTGATCCAGTTCCGAGCACAATTCAAAGTGCTGGTTTTGACCTACAAAACCCTATACGGCTCTGGCCCAGCGTATCTGTCCGAACGCATCTCCCTCTAYGTCTCACCTCGGAGTTTGRGAGTCTTCTGGGGAGGCCCTGCTCTCGACCCCACCTCTATCACAAGTGAGGTTGGTGGGGACGAGGAGCAGGGCCTTCTCAGTGGTGGCCCYTCGCCTGTGGAATTCACTCYCCGGGGAAATTAGGTCATCAACTTCCCTCCTCTCTTTCAGAAGGAAATTAAAAACATGGTTGTGGGACCAGGCTTTCAGGCAATCTGGCGGTTAGATAAGGACAATGATGACCAGAATCGATAGTATTTGACAATGTGGAATGAATCACGGACTCTGAGATGGCGAACGCTGAGTATTAGATTGTTTTTATTGATGTATAAACTGACTGTCTTAATTGTTATAATTGCTGTTTACATGTTTTATCCATTGTTATGTTTATGCTGGCATCGAATTGTGCCTTTGTAAGCCGCCTTGAGTCCCCCCTCGGAGGTTGAGAAGGGCGGGGTAGAAATACGCGAAATAAATAAATAAATAAATAAATAAATAAATTTGAAACATGCAGGAAAGTTGGGGAGGGAATTTAGAAATTGAAATATTCACCAATAATTTTCATTAATGTTCTGTAACATTTGGATGTCTCCCAAGGTCAGTTTAATTTTCAGCATAACCATTAAGCAACTTTGGTGAAGCCAAGAGAACATAAAGTGCTTACAAACCAATTGTTTTACTTAGGAGTTTTGCTCCATCATCACCATAAGGAAGGTGCTGTGGGTGGGACTGAACTTAATAGAGATTGAGAACACAGCCATCTTAAATGTAGTTTTGGAAAGTGATGCCCCCAATAGCAGAGAATGCAAAAGGCCCTGCCATAACTACATTTCCCAGAATGCAATGCTGCTCAGGATCCAAATGAGGGCTGAAGAACCCAAATGATAGCTGGCTGCAGAAGTCATTGTTTAGAGTTAGTCTAATAATAATAAATAAAATTATTGAATCTGCAAAGAGGACTAAAGTAAGCAAGCATTAAGCAGCTTTGGCAAAGCCAAGAAAACATAAAGTGCTTTAAAAACTATTCCTTTTACTTCGGATCCTCGTCATAAGGAAAGCTCCGTGGGGGGCAGCCAGCCAGCCATTTAGAGTCACTCTAATAATAAATAAAATTATTGAATCTGCAAAGAGAACTAATGTAAGTAACAGTATAAATCTGTGCTAAGTTGAATTTATGTGGTTGTGTGTCATAGAGACAGGGAGACATTTAAGGGAATTCCTGTTGTCGCTTTTTGGGGGATAGTTTTGGTCTAATGACTTTTAAAAATCCCCAAAATGCAGATGTGTGAATCTTTCTGAAACTTTTGGAAATGATTGTGTGCATTGTATATAAAATTCAAGTAGATAGCTCTCGTAGTTTTTTTTTTAAGTTGTTTATAAAAACTTTGAAAATTCCCAAAAATCCCTGGATAAGTGAAACATTATGAAACTTGATGGGCAAAGAGTGGTAAATGTGTTCTACCATTCTAGCAAGTTTCACACCAAGAGCTTTAAAAATGAGGGAACCCTTGAAGTTTCCCCAATAGTAGTAATTATTGCATTAATGCACATGCATGTTTTTTGCTAAGTGTACTTTAGAAACACTTTCGAAATGAAGCTCCAGGACCCCACAGTTTTGTAAGGCGGTAGTCAAGGGAGCTTTTGCACAATTAAAACTTGTGCGCCAGCTGCGCCCATACCTTGGGAAGTCTGACTTGGCCACGGTGGTCCACGCTGTGGTTACATCCTGTATAGAGTACTGCAACGCTCTCTACGTGGGGTTGCCTCTGAAGACTGCCCGGAAGTTTCAACTAGTCCAACGAGCGGCAGCCAGATTACTAACAGGAGTGGGGTACAGGGAGCATACTACTCCTCTGTTGCGTCAGCTCCACTGGCTGCCAATTAGCTTCCGAGCACAATTCAAAGTGCTGGTGCTGACCTATAAATCCCTAAACGACTCCGGCCCAGTTTACCTGTCCGAACGGATTCTCCCCTATGAACCATCAAGGTTGTTAAGATCTTCTGGAGGGGCCCTGCTCTCGGTCCCACCACCCTCGCAATCGCGTCTGGTGGGGACGAGGGACAGGGCCTTCTCGGTGGTGGCCCCTCGGCTCTGGAACTCTCTCCCGCTGGAGATTAGATCTGCCCCTTCTCTCCTGACTTTTAGAAAGCTGGTAAAATCTGGGCTTTGGAATATAGCATTTGCAGAATGATGACTGAGTCAATAACTCTGACGGATGGTGATGAATTTGTGATTTTACTTTGATGACCTGGCTTTTTGTAATTGTATGATCTGTATTTTAATGTATTTTATGTATTAATGTATTACGATGCTATTATGTTTATCCTACTTGTGTATGAATTTCCTGCTGTTAGCTGGCCTGAGTCCCTCTTCGGAGGTCGAGAAGCACGAAATAAATAATAAATAAATAAATAATAAGTACTTTTGAACTATTATTTTATTGATTGCACATGCCTAATATCTGTAGCTATCTATCTATCTATCTATCTATCTATCTATCTATCTATCTTATCTATCATTCATATCTATCATTCATATCTACCAATCATATCTACCAATCATTACCTATATATCTATCATTCATATCATATCAAGCATATCAATCTATCATCTCTATCATATCTACCATCTACCATCTCTTTCCCTCTCTCATCGTGATCTATTATATCTACATCTATCATTATCTATCTTTTCCCTCCCTCTTGCATTTTGATCTGTCTCTTCTATCATATGTATCTAGCTATCTTATTGGTCTATTCATCTATACATATATAGAGATATATACATATCTAAGTATGTACGGTATCTCTCTATCATCTTCCTCTCTCTTCTCTCTCTCTTTAGTATCCAACTCTCTGCTGATCCATATTGTTCCAACCGTACTAAACGTTACCTGAACATCTCTGTTGGTGTTGTAGAAATAGAGAGTCAATCCATGGAGTCCTGCCCAATATTTCTTGTAATCCTGGTGGAGTTTTGGGGGAGGAGAGAAAACAAAAATGGTATTACCAAAAGTTTCCTTCTGCGGGAGGTTTCCCTCACCTTCCAATGCAAGCAAGGCCTTCATAGACATCCAGTAACCTTTCATTTATGTGTTTATTATTTCCTGGATTTTGATCCCACTTCCCGATAAGGAGACTGACAATAAATAGAACACAAGTCAGCTAAGGCAGCACACCCAAATACCTGGGAGTCACTATGGACCGTGCTCTTACCTACAAGAAGCACTGCCTGAACATCAAGCAAAAAGTGGGTGCTAGAAACAATATCATACGAAAGCTGACTGGCACAACCTGGGGATCACAGTCAGACACAGTGAAGACATCTGCCCTTGCGCTGTGCTACTCTGCTGCTGAGTACGCATGCCCAGTGTGGAACACATCTCACCACACTAAAACAGTGGATGTGGCTCTTAATTATCACGGGGTGTCTGCGCCCTACACCACTGGAGAAATTACACTGCTTAGCCGGTATTGCACCACCTGACATCCGCAGGGAAGTAGCAGCCAATAGTGAAAGGACCAAGGCAGAGACATCTCCAGCTCATCCCCTGTTTGGGTATCAGCCAGCACGTCAACGACTTAAATCTAGAAATAGTTTTCTAAGATCTACAGAGACACTCGCTGGAACACCTCAGCAAGCGGGAGTCCAAAAGTGGCAGGCTCAAACCCAGAACCTCAACCAATGGCTGATACCAAGGAGAGACTCCCCCCTCCCCCGGGCACACAGAAAACTGGGCGAACTTGGAAGGCGCTGAACAGACTGCGCTCTGGCACCACGAGATGCAGAGCCAACCTCAAGAAATGGGGCTACAAAGTGGAATCCACGACATGCGAGTGTGGAGAGGAGCAAACCACTGACCACCTGCTGCAATGCAACCTGAGCCCTGCCACATGCACAATGGAGGACCTTCTTGCAGCAACACCAGAAGCACTCCAAGTGGCCAGATACTGGTCAAAGGACATTTAATCAACTACAAATTTTGTATTTTGTCTGTTTGTTTGCTTTGTTCTGTTAGAAATGTAATATAATTGACTGGTTGCCCTGACACGACAAATAAATAAAATAGCTAAGGCTGTGTCGACACTATTGAAATCAAAGCACCACAGTGGCTGTGATGGATTTGTATCTTTGGCACAAAGAATGTGGAAGACCTTCTCAAACGATGTCATCCAAGTGGCAGCAAACTGTGTTAATTCTGTGGTGTGGACACAACCAAAGTCTCCCTCCCGCTTTGGTGTTTCAGAGCTCGAGTGCCTACCTTTTCTCCTGGGCTTTTCTTTTCCACAAACCCTTCGTAATAATGGGCCTGGATGGGGTTTTTGGCTTTCTTGGCCCAGCGATTGCAAGGACTGCTGGCCATCCCTTGGTGCCGACGGATTTAGCCACAGAACGACGCTTTGGATGGAGTCCGAAGTTTGGCTCCAGGAAGCCAGGAGTCATAAAGCAGCGACCAGGCTGTCCTTGGCTTCTTTCGCTCTGTCTCTCTTTGTTTATTCTCTGCCCTTTCCGCCTCTGTTTACCCGAAGTTTCCCCAAGGCCCTCCCCTTGGCAGATCCCTCTGGACCTTGGACAGGTGAATCTCTCGGCTGGCTCTTTACCTGTCAAGGTGAACGAATAGTCATAAGAATAAAAAAGGAAACGAAGAGCCACGCCTTGAAAGTGGAGCCAAAGCAGACTTGATTTCTCCCTAGACCTTCCTGGAGTGCAGCTAAACATCTTGGCACCACATTGCCCAATGCTATGGGAGTTGTAGTTTGCCCTCATTTGCACAAACGACCCTGTGAAACTGCAACTGACTGTGCAGAGTGTTTCCCTGTGTATTGAATCTAATGGGAGTCCTCCCTGGAAATCCAACTGAGTCTCCTTCTCTGGATTTTTTTTTTCAACAGTAGCTGGATGGCCATTTGTTGAGAGGGACTGGGTGGTGTTTTCCTGCCTGAAAGAATGGGGTTGGTTTGGATGACCTCTGGGCTCCTTTATAATTCCAACTATGGCCTTACTGGTTACATGAACAATATTACTTATATATACGTTTAAATAGTGGTTCTCGACCTTCCTAATGCCATGACCCCTTAGCAGAGTTCCTCATGTTATGGTGACCCTCAACCATAAAATTATTTCCGTTGCTACTTTATAACTGTAATTTTGCTACTGTTCTGAATCATAATGTAAATATCTGATATACAAGATGTATTTTCATTGTTACAAATTGAACATAATTAAAGCATAGTGATTAATCACAAAAACAATATGTTTGGGAGGTTATGGGGATTTGCAGTTGCTTCAGCTCTGACTTACACAGACCACTGAGACCCCCCACGAATGACAGATCTGGACCAAACTTGGCACACAGAACTCCCATGACCAACAGAAAATACTGGAGGGAATTGAGAGGAATTGACCTTCATCTCTGGAAGTTGTAGTTTAGTTACATCCAGAGACACTGTGACCACCACCAATGATGGTTCTGGACCAAACTTGGCACACAGAACCCCATGACCAACAGAAAATACTGGAGGGAATTGAGAGGAATTGACCTTCATCTCTGGAAGTTGTAGTTTAGTTACATCCAGAGACACTGTGACCACCACCAATGATGGTTCTGGACCAAACTTGGCACACAGAATCCCCATGACCAACAGAAAATACTGGAGGGGTTTGGGAGGAATTGACAGTGATTTAGAGGAGAAACAATAATGGATCTGGACAAAACTTGGCACGAATATTCAATATGCCCAAATGTGAACATTGGTGAAGTTTGGGGAAAATAGACCTTGACATTTGGGAGTTGTAGTTGCTGGGATTTATAGTTCATCCACAATCAAAGAGCATTCTGAACTCCACCAACAATGGAATTGAACTCCTATGACCAACAGAAAATACTGGAAGGGTTTGGTGGACATTGACCTTGAGTTTTGGAGTTGTAGTTCACCTACATCCAGAGAGCACTGTGGACTCAAACAATGATGGATCTGGACAAACTTGGCATGAAAAGTCAATATGCCCAAATGTGAACACTGGTTGAGTCTGGGGAAAATAGACCTTGACATTTGGGAGTTGTAGTTGCTGGGATTTATAGTTCACCTACAATCAAAGAGCATTCTGAACTCCACCAACAATGGAATTGAACTCCTATGACCAACTGAATATACTGGTAGGGTTTGGTGGACACTGACCTTGAGTTTGGGAGTTGTAGTTCACCTACATCCAGAGAGCACTGTGAATCCAAACAATGACGGATCTGGGCCAAACTTGACACACAGACCCAACATGGCCAACTCTGAATACTGGCAGGTTTTGTGGAAGATTGACCCACGATTTTGGGAGTTATAGTTCAACCGCATTTTCTAATGGGAGTATTAGAGCAGAAATATGTGTTTCCGATGGTCGTTGGTGATCTCTCTGAAACCCCCTCACACCCACCTCCCAGGGGTCCCATCCCCAGGTTGAAAAACACTGGTTTAAATGGTGGTGGAAGCTCCTTCCTTGGAAACCTTTAAACAGAGGCTAGATGTCCATCTGTCAGGGATACTTTGATTGTGCTTTTCCTGCATGGCAGGGGGTTGGACTGGATGGCCCATATGGTGATGTCGAATACAGACCCCCCCCCCCCCCAGGTAAAATTATTAATGTAGTAAAGATGGCACTATGGCAGAGAGTTTTTCAGGTAGCAGTAGCTTTAAGTTTGGTCAATTAGCTATGCAAACATTCACAGGACAGGAGGAGTCTGGCAGCAGCTACCAACTATACATCTTACAACAATCTTTCCTTTTTTCATTACTAGTCTATTACAAAGTAACCCTAATAAACGTGTACCTCAGTGTGTTGCCTTCTATATCTGACTCTATGTATCTTCTTTTACTTTTGTGGCTCTGTTTTCCTCTTTCACCACCGGCAGCCAGCCTTGTTAACCACATGGCCCCTTTGGTGGTAGAGAAGGGCGGGGTACAAATATTTGAAATAAATAACTAAACAGTGGACCTTTCCCCGCTTCATCCTTTCTTGAAACATTATCCCTGCACCCCAACTATCGCCTTATTTCACCATCTCCCGCATGGATGCCCAGGCCTCCAATTTGTTGGGTTCCCCTCAGTATCCACGGACCCCTTGTGTATGTGTGCCCTTGTCCCGCGGATACCCAGGCCGCCAGCTTGTTGGGTCCCCCTTGGTATCCACAAACCCCTTTTGAATGTGTTCTCTTGTCCTGCTGATACCCAGGCCTCCAGCTTGTTGGGTCCCCCTTGGTATCCATGGACCCCTTGTGTATGTGTGTCTTTGTCCCACGCACACTCAGTCCTCCAGGTTGTTGGGTCCCACTTGTTATCCATAGAACCCTTGTGTATGTGTGACTTAGTCCCGCAGATACTTAGGCCTCCAGCTGGATTTTGAGATTCCAGACAAGAGATGTTCCTTATCTAGCAGTAGTAGTCAATTGGGACACTGAAATTCAACACCGCCTGAGCTCTGTGAGTGCTGTAGAATTTGAAGAGGCACGAATGGAGGGTGAAAGAGAGAAACGTGCCAAGAGGAAGACGCGTCAAGCCAACCCCGACCGGGACTGCCTTCCACATGGAAACCAATGCCCTTACTGCAGGAGAAGATGCAGATGAAGAATTGGGCTCCACAATCACCTACAGACCCACCGACAGAACACCGACCTTGGATGACCATCATCCTCGGACTACGAGGGATCGCCTAAGTAAGTAAGCAGTCAACTGGGACACTAAGAAGCTTTAAAACAATTTCAAAACAATATTATCATCATCATCATCATCATTTGACAGAGTCCCAATCAACTATAAAAAAATGGGGAAAAACTATGCAGTTATTAATTATTAATTATTGACTATTGACCATTAATTATTAATTATTGGCTATAGACTATTGACTATTAATTATTGACTGATTATCAATTATCGATGATCAATTATTAATTAATAAGAGAGGTGTTTTGGGACTCCCATCCCCAATATCCCCCAACATTGCCATCTCTTTGCTTGTGGATTTAGAGGATCCTGTCCCTTTAAGAGGTGCCTGAACTGCGGAAATTGGCAAGCAGATGCCCATTGACTTCTTGCCAGGAAACAAGCCTTCTCTCTTAGGTCTTGTTGACACATCAAATCACTGCAAGACAGCTAAGCAGGACAGGCCTGGCCTTTGCTAGATCAAGGAGGCTTTGTGGCTTGGCCTCAGAAGTGGGACACATAAAAAAAAGGGGGGGGTCAAAAAGTGATGAATGCGGAAAGAGGCCCAAAGGTTCTTTTGCTCCATCATCTTTGCCTCCTTCCTTCTCTTTCTGTTTGAATTTCCTTATTATTTGAGTCACAATCAACATTGCTAGGATATGGCATGACTTTTGCTGTAAGTTGACTTTTCCCGCCTTTACAGAAACAACACAACTTGCATTTCAAGACTTTGTATAGCAGGGAAGCTTCCCCCCATGAATCTCTGGAATGGAAGAAGGTTTTCAGGCCCCCCACTCACTCTCCTTCCTCCTTTAAACTTTCCTTCAAACCTTCTTTTGCTTCCTTTGCCCTCTCCTACCCTTTACTTTTCCACTCTTTTCTTCCTCTCCTCCTTTTCTTCTCCCTCTCCTCCTATTTTGCATCACCCCCTACTTCTGTGTTTCACAACCTTCCTAATGTTGCAACCGCTTAATACCATTCTTCATGAGGTGGTGACCCCCCAACCATAAAATTATTTTCATTGCTCCTTCATAACTGTAGTTTTACTGGTGTTCTGAATCGTAATGTCAATATCTGATATGCAGGATGTATTTTCATTCACTGGACCAAATTGGGCACAAATACCCAACACACACAAATTTGAATACTGGTGGGGTTGGGGGAGGGATTGGTTTTGTCATTTCGGAGTTGTAGTGAAGTCGAACATGAACCCCCCCCCCATAAAAGATAGTAACTTATAGTACCTTGGGAGGTCTGACTTGGCCACGGTAGTCCACGCTCTTGTCGCATCCCGCCTAGACTACTGCAACGCTCTCTACGTGGGGCTGCCCCTGAAGACGGCCCGGAAGCTGCAATTAGTCCAACGCGCGGCAGCCATGATTCTAACAGGAGCGGAGCGCAGGGAGCACACAACCCCCCTGTTGCGCCAGCTCCACTGGCTGCCGATTTGCTACCGGGCTCAATTCAAGGTGTTGGTATTGGCCTATAAAGCCCTAAACGGTTCCGGCCCAAGATACCTATCTGACCGCATCTCGGCCTATGAACCCACCAGGACTTTGAGATCTTCCGGGGAGGCCCTGCTCTCGATCCCGCCGGCCTCCCAAACACGGTTGGCGGGGACGAGAGATAGGGCCTTCTCGGTGGTGGCTCCTCAGCTGTGGAACGCCCTTCCTACAGACATTAGGTTGACACCATCTCTCATGGCATTCCGAAGAAAGTTGAAGACCTGGATGTTTGTGCAGGCGTTTGAGTAATTTAGTGCAATCTGGTAACCGAACATAGGAATGGAACAATGGACGACGAACTTGGATCATGCATGGATGATGAGGCGATTGGGTATGGGTTTTTTGTAATAGTTGTGTATTGGGATTGC